GAACTACAGGACACATGTGGGAAATAAAACAGACATTGTGACGGCGAATCCCAGCATATTTATGGAGAAGTGAGTGAAAGCCTTTGAGATGACAGTGATTCGTGTTTTATTGTACAATCTTTCTCTTCAAACTGAACTTCTTGAGTAAACCAGTAGATTTGTAAATAGCTGAGCATCTGAAATTTTAATCACAATGTTTTCAGAGGTGATTTGATTGCACTTCAGAGATCATTGGTTGAATGTTTACATAATCATAATGCAGTCCGGTCATAGTGAAGTGTGAAATTACACAATGGAGAATGTTCCAATGTTATATGATGTACCTGGAGATTGATCAGAAATAAAAAATATATATTGCATTTGAATAGTTTTTTTGCAGATAAGTGAAAATATCGGAAAAACTTTTAAAATTTGCGCTTTACCAAGTAACAAAGCCAGATATGATTTAGTTCCATACAATTGAAGTTTCCCCCCTTCCTGAGATGCACATGTACTGCCAATAACAAAAGATATGGTGAAACTAGAAGAATTTTTTGACACATATATCTGTTTTTGCTAATTAACTTAATTTGGAAACCAATATTTTTTTCCATAACCACCCAACATTGCATTAGATTTGGATTTTGGCAATCATAAAACGCTATGAATTTAAATGTATAGAAATATAAGTATCTTGATACGCTTTGGACCTTGCTATGGATAAGAGCTGAACCAACAGTGTTTTAGAAATATGCTCTAATCTGAGAAGCGGTGTGATATACTGTATTCGTACATTACTTTCTGCTTTCGAAGTTTTCCACCAAAATCTCTCCTGCCTTTGCTGACAACTCACTGAATCGGCTTTGCTCGCAAACAGTTCGAATAGCCCTTTCATCGTTTAGTCCAAGTTCTTCAGATTGCAATTGCTTCTCAGATGCCATTCCAATCATTTATAAGATAAGATAAGATAGACTTTATTGATCTCACACTGGAGAAATGTACATGTCACAGTTGGCATAGAAAGAATCACTCAGATTGTGCAAAAGACAGAAGTGTGCAAACATGGTTAAAAATATAGTCTGTGCAGGATATATAAAAAAACGCGGCATTAAAAAAATAGTCCAGAGGATACGCCAACACCATGGTTATTAAGAGCAAGGTCTATTTTACACCGATTCAACATTTTAGCCTCTGTTAAACGTTTTCTACACCCACATATCAACACCTACAGCTTGTGTCTTGTTGCTTTCAGATACGGGGCACTGATGGGTCGCCGCCGTCCATTTGTGGAGAGCCTAACGGTGTTCGGGAAGGCCATGCTGCTCATTCCCGCCTTCTCGTACGGCCACAACACGCCCCTGTCCATGCGGGCCTTTTACTCCATCGAGGATTTCGGAAGCCCCATTCGCCCCATATTCTTCAACCCCGAGTACCTCCAGAAACTGTCTGCGTTCTGGCGTTCGCAAGGCCTCCGAGCGGTCCGCCTCAGCACTGGGTTGATCATGGCGAGCTTGGCACTGGAAGTCTGTGACAATGTGCACCTCTATGGATTCTGGCCCTTTGGCAATCACCCTCACGGACTGGCGCCGCTGACGAATCACTACTACGACGACCGACAGACGAAGAAAAAGTTTCACGCCATGCCGGCCGAGTTCGAGTTGTTGCTCAAGTTGCACAGTCAAGGGGTTCTCAAGCTCCACCTGGGACAGTGTTCTCCACAGAAACTGCCTTCACCCGCCTTGAGCGAAACAAAACAGAAGAAACTCACTCCTGGTTGAACTGTTGAAAGCAAAACCCCAGTGGTTCTCAAGTACAGTTGTGCTCATGAGTGCTAGAATGTAGGATTTCCTGCGCATTTTTCAGATAATATTAATGAGGTTTTGAGTCACTGTTGGTTGGGTGAAACCTTTTAGCAGCTCAAAATGTTGGATATTTTTAAATTATGGTTCAGGTCCTAGAGTAAGCATGTTTCCTCCGGTTTCCCCCACGACATAAAACATGCAAATAGCAAAGTTGGTCCTAAACAAGCCGAGAATCAGCATCTGGAGACTGGTCCCTGGGTGCTACACGGCTTTTGACAGTTGCATGCAAGTGGTTCTTAATGTATGGATTAAATATAGGAGGCAAACATCTGTGTAAGGACATTAGTATTCCATAATATTAAACTTCATCATATTGAGCAGTTTAAGAAATTCTGATCTGGTCATTTGGATACTTTCTGTTAACATGATATTTTTTTGGCAAAGAACAGTAAACACAGTTGTTGGCTTCATCCAATCACCACCAAAGTGTTTTTTTTTTTTTTCAAATCATTTTTATTATCTGAAAAATAGCTTAGCTTCTGCCATTGTTCGCCGATGAGCAGAGCTGTATAAAACATTCTTTCTGGTAGTTTTCACATAACAACTCAAACACCCAACTCTCTTCTGTATATGGTTATATGGGACTAGCTTCTCCAAGTGGAAATTTTCCGTTCTTCATAGTTGGTTTGTCCTGGGTCACACGAGGCTTCCAAACTAGATACAGGAAGCAGACAGAATTGGGTTTTAGTACTGTATATACCATGAATTACCTTTACAGAATACAGTATTACCTTTTAAGCTATGGTGGGAGTGCCTTGGATTTGTATTTTGCAACTTCTCAATCCCAGCAAGCATTGCATTTACCCAAGCCGTTTCTTCATACTGTACTTTTTCACCAACTTGAGTAATATGTTTGGCTGCACCGCAATAAGAGCTGAAAAATAAGGCAAAAATGTCTCAAATTTGTCAAAATGATTCCTAAATTAGGTACATTTAGACTACTTTAATACAGGATTTAACAATGAGAAAAGCAACATTATCTTGTTTTAAAAAGATACAAGAAATGGATCTTTTGGAATGAAAAAATTAAGTAATAGTTCTTAAAAAAAGACTAAACAGCTTTGTCCCATTGGCAAATGTTGTTTCCGGCCAGTCAGAATGTACTCAAATTAGGATCAAAACCACTCAATTCAAGCAATTATTACCTCATATTTTATCATTTTTTGAAGTGTGTATAGCACTCTCACTACTCTTCACAAAGCAGTCCTTTTATTTACTATTTTTGACAACAATAACCCTTTTTAAATCCAAGTCATATTATTCATACGCAATCATAGTATTTACTTTCTCCTTCTGTCTGCTCCTCACCCAGTTCAACATTTTCATTGTGTCCTTTAATTCAATAAAACATGACGAATACAACTATCAAGTGTCCGGAACCACCTTTTGAGAACCACAGGCGAAGACAGGAGATTGGTGTTAGATTTTACTACATTTGCACTAAAACAAAATGTGTTAAAGATGTTGGCCAATATCTTCTAAGCCTTAATGTTAATATATTATTTATTATAATGAGAGTTTGTTGGAACAGTATTCAAAACGTCACACATTTCTGATCCAGTGCCTCCTTATGTTGTGATGCACTCCTTCATTCATTGTTGTAATTTGGTAGTTTATTGTGTTGAATACCTCTGATGTCTTCGGTGCACATGTATGTTCAAAACGGCGAAATAAATCTTCACTTCTTAAAACAAATGTGTGTCTTTTGAACAATAAATGTAATATTCAGTGATTAGTAATGTGCTGTTTTTTAGGGTTGTTTTCGCACTTGGCCCGATTGATTGATTGTTTCCACCCTGCAGCTACAGAAGCAGCATGGAAAGATCAAACTAATAAGGTAAGTTGGGAGAACATAACAGAGAAAAGCATTATCATGAGGAAAGCATCAAACAGAGTGGTTTCTTTGTATTAAGTCTCCAAACATTGAAATATGTCATACCTGCTGTCAATACATCTCTTTTCTGTCAAACGCTGCTCCCTGCACATGGCGCCGTAAAGATGGCGCCGTGGCAAGAGCTCTGGTGTGTGTCGTCTGGTGCACACTGGGGTAGTCTTGCACAGTTTTTCCGATGTGGTTTTACTGCAAATGGCAAATAAATGAATCTGAATCTGCTGCCCTCTGCTGGTGATGGCCGATACTGGCATGATTGGATCTGGATGTTACTTCTGTATGTTTTGAAAAGTTTTCATGCAGCTGTAATCCAGAACTGTTTTTTTTATTTTTATAGAATGATGAATGACTTAATTTAACATAATCTTTTCTCTCCAGATTTTTTCTTTCCTCCCATTTATCAACGTTCATCCAGGCCATGAATGGACTGAAAATAAGTCAGAATTTAGCCAGACACGCTGCTGATCTCTAACCCTAACCTTATACCATAACCCTAAACCCTTTCCCCCCTTTTTTAATCTTTGTTGAACTGTATTGTGGATAAAATTAATTTCTGTGAGGGAAGTCGAAACGAACGAAAGTGTTGAGATGGATAGATGATGTGGAACTTTCTATGGGAGGATGATTCTTTCTGATATTGAAATGGACAAAACCATAGACTCATCAGTCCAGTAGGGGGCGGCACAATGCAAGACTTTCACACTGTCAGCTGCCAATAAACTCCAAGAAAAAGAAAAAGCACCTGCAGCCACTCATTCATCAGTCAGTACTTTACAGTCTATGCTCAGTACAGTGTGAGCTCAGTCAATGCAGGAGTTTAAAAATAATAATAATACTGTTATTCTGAGTGAGGTGAATCACACGTAATAGCTATTCTATTTAACTCTATAAGCCTGTCCACAAAATGAATGTCCAGCATTGTTTGTTAGTCCTTAATCATTGAATGGGAAATGTTTTTCAAAGTATGAGGTAAAAAAGGAATAACTTTTTGTAGCCATGAGAAGACAATGCAGCAGTTTGTTAATGATTCTCAGTTTAACTTTGGGGACTTTATTCATACTAATGGACCAGTAAGTATGTGATTTACATTTACTGCATCAAAGTACTTCTAAGAGGAGACATTGAGTGTAACAATTACTATGTTCACTGATATAAGCATTGAGTTAATTGTGTTTGGGTAGAATAATGTTTTATTTTATGGAAATATCTTTATTCTATTCCAATATTTCAGCTTTTGGCCTACACCTGGCAGATCGCTCTAATATCTAACTGAAACTAAATGCGTTAAAAATGAAAGTACATTTTTACTTTTATTTGCGTGATTAAAACACCCGCCTGAACCTTGGCTCTTATTCCCACAGTGTTTTGACTTTTACTGACAGATGAGACGTTTGATCTGTTTATGATTCCTTTTTCTACTCTCATGGTTGGATGTATTACACTGATCACAGAATGATTAATATTCTTCTCATTTCTAAATCTGGTTGTCGTGTCATCCCCACTTGTTCTTTGCTGCAGTAGATACATAATAGAGCCGGCCTGTGTCTTTATGTATGTGATATTTATGTCTTCCAGTCACTTTACTGTAACTTCTGCTCCAAGGAATATCCACATGGTGCCTCTTGTCACAACCGGTCCTGACTGCAAGTAAGCAAATTAATTACATTAAAAAGTCCTACTTTAGTGTTTCATTTTGTGTTTATTTTTTTGTATTTTTTACAGCAAAAGAAAACCAAATCTCAACAAGCCCAGAGTTCCGGTCAAAACCCTGTACTGCATTTTATTTGCACACATTGACTTATACTGACGAGTTGTTTGATTTGCAAGACCTATATTGAGTTCATATATATATATATTTTTTTCAGAAAATCCATCAACAATTTTCTTAAAGAATATTCAAACAATTGGACAAAAAATGAGGAAAATCACAACATTCTAAGGTAAGACATTTCATATTTTCTCATGAGGTCAGTGACTGCCTCCATGGAGATGTTTTTGATTTGTAGCAGTAAGGAAAATAGAAATGACAAAAAAATCAATCCATGTATTTATTGAATATGTTGATTATACACAATATGGTTTCTTTATTCCACATGTGGTACCTGCAGATCTTTATTGGCAGATCAATCATACTAAATGCACTATTGACACTTGTTTAACACAATATTATTGGTTATTTCCACAAATCTAGAAAGGACAAAAGCCTTTACACTGTAACTAAATGCACACAGATTACAGATATTCAAACTTCTTGAGCCGTCACTCTTGGACTAGAGCCAGTTTCTCTGCATTTAAATGTCAAAGACTCTCAATGACGTGTTTTAGGACAAAAATAAATAATGCATCATATTTGTCCTTTAGGTCCACAATGATCCTTCTTTGTTGCACAGATCTTTGCTCATTTCAAAATGCAATGGTTTTCAAAAGGCGGTTGTAACTAAGGAAAACACCCCCTTGAAAACTAAAGTAGTGTTTGATGGAGATCGTAAAGTTTTGAAAGTGGAGGAAAAGGTTTTCAATTCTTTTGTAAAGGTATTTATCATTAATCATTCATGGTGTCACAGCAGGGGGACAGTTATTCCTAATTACTTATTCTTCTTTTAGGACAATCCATTTTTAAATAAAACTCTGGACACGTGTTCTGTTGTTGGAAATGGGGGAATTCTGATGAACAGCCGCTGTGGAGACGCCATAGACTCTGCCCAGTTTGTGATCAGGTAAAACTGCTGCGTTCCTGGAAACTGAAAAGTGGGATAGCAGAAAAATATAGGTTTATTTGTATGAAGGCTTGGGAAGGCTAATCCATGCTAACAAACTGCACACATGTTTGTATGGGAGGTGGAAAATGGCCCGGCCTCCTGGATGAAACTATATCTTTCTGGTAACATGCTTTTTTGCTCCATGTTCAGATGTAATATGGCTCCTTTGAGCAACTGCTACACAGCACATGTTGGAAGAAAGACCAGCCTCATCACAGCAAACCCAAGCATCATTGTGAAACAGTAGGTGTAGATAACACTTTTTAGAGTTGTGTGTTAAAGCTCCAACTTGTGATGTATCTGTTTTTTTATCGCGGCACATGGCTGTAGCTAAATGTAGTGAGATATCTAACCCCCATCTAACCCTTATTCAGAAGAGTCACACTATGTCTAATATTTCCCAATCTACAAAAGACTCTGTTTCACACACTCTGGCTGACAGAAAATCATCCACCCACAAAGAAAGAAATTCATGAGATGTTTGTGGCCTTAGCTTGTCAAGGTCCATATTTCAGACGTAAATCATGGCCTGGTTAGTGCTCCACTGTGCTACATTCTGTGTGTGCGAATGAGGCACATGGTGAGTGGAGGCACTGGTCTTGGAAGTCTACAAAATACTGTTCTTTCAGATTTATCCCAAATCTCTCTGTGCAGGCTCATTTGGATCAATACATTATGTCCATAATGTGAAATGCCAGAATATTTGATGATGAGGATTTATTTCAACTTTCATTCATAACTTCACATCATCAGGGTCGGAGGATTATGCATGAGGTTAATATTTGGCAGAACGTCCTTTAAACAGTTTGTGACCACCTGATGCTGGTTAAAATGGTGCTTTAACACTAGGACTCTCACAATTACATAACTAGAACTCCCACAGCCGTCATTTTGACTGCTCCCAATCAAGCCCATGGAATTCTGAGCAATTCCCGCCAAAATATGATCAGTTTTTCACCAGACTTATTAAAAGTAATTTTATAAGTTTTAAACAATAAACAGTATGTTGCTCTAGTAACCAGCACTTGCTCTTCAAAAATAGAACTACTCAAAAAAATGAAACGTTTCATAAAAATTAATGACAAATAAACTACATATAAAGACAGAACAAATTATGGAGACCACAAATGCACATGAGCTGAGTAATTACACTTGCAGAACTAAAAGCTGTCTATTTGACTGCTCCGGGAGTTAAAGATGCATTGTCAGGTTGAATTCAGTGTCTGCTATAATACCTCCATTCATGTTGTTTCAGGTACAGGTCACTCCTGGAACACCGCCGCAAGTTCTTTGAGGACGTCAACATCTATGGAAATGCTCTCTTGTTTCTCCCAGCCTTTTCCTTTACCAAAAAAACAAATTTATGTTTGAGAGCTCTGTACACTCTGGAGGACTTCGGGAGCTCGGGGAAAACTGTTTTTATGAACCCTGAGTACCTGAAGCGTCTGGACACATTCTGGCGTTCGAACGGACTGAATCCTCGTAACCGACTCAGCTCTGGGTTCATGATGGTCAGTTTGGCTTTAGAACTCTGCAACAATGTGGACGTGTACGGTTTCTGGCCCTATAGTAATCACCCGTACACTTTAGAAGCGCTGGATAACCACTATTACGATGACGTACTGCCTAGAAAGAAGGTACACGCCATGCCAGCAGAGTTTGCCGTCCTGCTGAAGCTGCACCGTCAGGGGGTACTCCGACTTCAACTCGGGGAGTGCGCTCCATCCACACATTAGCCTCAAATGTCTTCTGGCAGCTGACAAGAAAACACACTAACTTTGAATAGTGATTTGACTATATTTTGCACCCTCTAAACTGCTACACTTTTGTTCAGCCGGAAGTTCAAATGTGTTCTTTATGCGTGAATGTATTTTTTTAAATGTAAAGTCTGGATATTACAATTGCAAGTTTCTACTTTAATTCTTCTCCATGGGGGGATCTGTGTGGTGAGTCTGCTTGTAAACGTGATATACAAAGTTCTGGAATACTATTGTAGTGTGTGTACTATGGAAGAGAATTACAGATTTGTGTACTCTTGCCTCCCTGCTAATTAAGTATTATAGCTTTTTAAAATTGTTTCTGAAAAATAAAGAACCTAAAATGATCTAAATGTTTGCAGATGATCATAGCGTTCCTTAACTTTACAAGCCAACCTGAATAAAATTCTCTCATATGGAAAACCCTATAATATCAACTGTGAAGAATTACAAATAAAGCAGATTTCTCAGATCCTACATATTTTCTTTGTGGTTGTCAAGGCAACCAGTGGGTGTCATTGGTCCCTCCATCACCACCAACCATTCATGCATCCACGAGTCATTCTGGGCAATGTGGGTGAAGTGTTGTGCATAGGGACACAACATTTGTGTCCTTTAGAGCCTCAGCCGCCCTTCTGTGGTATTGGGTGGTCCCAGAGGTCTCCCATTACAGTACTAACTAGGCCCTGCTCTGCGTAGCTTGCTTCGATTTTGCAAAATGCCTCTAAAGAACCCTCAGAACACAAATAAGATTCTGTGGAACTATTTGTAGCATTTGAAGGAAATCAAACACTGTTCTCAACATGTGGAAATGTGTTTGAGTGTTTTAGCAACGAGTGTGGATTTGTGATAATACATGTACATGTGATATTTTTGTGTTTGATTTTTAATCAAATAGACTTAACTTTGTTATTAGAGTAGATTAGAAAAAGAAAATATTTTTGAATAAGGCTGGAAAAAATGAACAAAAGGTGAAAAGGAGTTGAACACTTTCTGAACGCACTGTGTTACGCAGCCTTGACACATGCTGAAATGAACAGTAATAAGATCTGTAAAGGAGTTATAAGGTTCATTAAATTAGTTACTCAACACCAACAGTGTTTGTAAAAAGAACTTCACTTTCCAGGATTTATGTTGTATATCAAAACTTTTCTTTAAACTGTTGATGTTGCATTCATGAGGAATGTGTAGCAAATTGTTTAAATCTGCTTTAATGGAGGACAGAACTAATGGTCTGAAATGTGCATTTTCACCTATTGATTTTGTTATGGAATTTCTGCAAAGAGTAAATAGTACAAAAAATACAACCAACCTAGAAAACAAAAATAAAAATAACTTCATTAATTTCAGTAAATGTGCAATCACACCACATGAATAGACTAACGCCACGCAGGCTCAGTAAGTCGATCTGCCCCGAATGCAAGATTCAATGAAAGATTTCCCCAAGGCTGTTTCTTGGAACGCTCACCTGATCATAAGCACTGATATCAATGTTTTCAGAAATAAAACAGGGCTAACATGGCCAGGTACGTACTAGCCTGGCCATATCCATCCGTACACTCCGCTCAATCATCATTTCACTGCATGTAACGTCTGGGTCTGATCCCTGTGTTAGCGAATACAATCGGTCGTGTCACTCCCGGATTCGTCCCGGAAACCGGATTCGTCCGGAAGTTCAGTTTGCGCATGTCAAAAAGTTTAATATGTCCTTAAGTGGTGACTGGTTAAGTTTAGGCGTCTGATTAAGATGGTTAAGTTTAGGGTTAAGGCTGGGTTGGGGTTATTTTATGGGAATGGCTGGTTAAGTTTAGGCATGAATAGGTAGTTTTTTATATTTACTTCCGCTTCCGTCCAGATTCCGTGACGTAATCTACTGCTGCCTGTGCTCATTGGATCAAACTGAACTTCCGGACGAATCCGGTTTCCGGGACGAATACGGGAGTGACAGGTCGTATTTCAACCGGCTACTCAGAGAGCGCGTTGTAGGTCGGTGCCGGTGACGTCAAGAGTTTGCGCCGAACGGGAAGGTTGTAGTTTGGCAATGGCAAAGAATGCAATAGTAAAGTAATCCGGTCTGGTTCTATTAAGAAATTGAAGCAGGGGCAAGAGGAATGTTTAGCAAATGTAATCACTGGTCAAGATTGTGGCTCTATTCCCCATGGGCTCCGTTAGCGGCAAAGGAGATGGCTAAAGCTAGGCAAAATGCTAACAACACACTCGGGCACATTACATACGTCACAGTAAACTCAGATCCAATCATTTCAATCTACAAAAGGAGTTAACCCCTCCCACCTGTTCACGGAGCTCAATGGAGCAAATCCAGACCTTATAATGAAATTACATTTGTACTAAGGTGTGGTACAACCAGGCACGGTACGTACTGGTCATGAGCCACTGACTGTTTGGGTAAGACTGTAACTTTGTCACATATCTCTCTGACCTTGGCACAAAGGCTTTGGAACAGGCAGAGCAGATACTGGAGTCACAAGAGAGTCCTCCGTTTGAATCCAATGTGAAGCATGTTATTTAGTTTTAAAATGATTTAGCTTTAATTGCTTCATTTAGAATTTACTAAATGAAATGGGATGTGACTTTAAAGAAAGAAAAGTACACCATCCTAGACAGGACAAACACAACCTCTGCGCATGAGAGAAAAAAAACAAAGGAAGTGTGTTTAAGTCTTATTCAAACTTGTATCAATAAATAACAGATACAGTATTTCCTTGTGTGACATGGTCATTTACAGAGTGATATGAACACAGGCAGGCGGGACAGTAAAGAGGAGGAGCAGAAACACCCCTGTCCCAGACACTCAGACAACTTCTCCTGAGAGACTGACACAACGCATCTAATCATGAAGAGGCACTTTTTAAGAGCACGACATTCACGCCTTCCTTGTTTCTGTCTTCTTTTTGGAGCTTTGTTGACTGTTGTTTTTGTGGAATTAAACTATATGTAAGTGTGATATTGGGCTTTTTCTAAAGTCATATAGTAAGAATCTTTTCTTTATGTTGAAGTAAAGTAGATTTCAGATCCATTTCCTCTATCTGGGATGAAATTCAGGACAACTGTTCTGTGTGCAGGTGAGCAATTTTACCATCAATGCTTTTTACAATTAAAATCAATAATCTCAGACATAAAACAAAATGATTCACATTGTGTTTAACCCCATCCAAGGTGGATCATAAATCTGAAAATGTACACATCAATAGCGCAATAAATGTTTTACTGTTACACTGTAAACCCAGACAGTTTTTAAAGTTCAGACTACTCAATTCACATTAGGAGACCGATTCCATTCAAATGGATAGTTAATGCCCTATGGCAAAAAAAGGGAATTGATCAAGTAGAGTAAACTTAAAAAGTAAAACGAAACACAAATTACTATATGGAGTCATAGCCAGTTAATATGTTTACGTTTTCCAATTTTTAAACTAATATGTTCAGTTAACTTAACTTGTTAGGGGAAGTGCTACTAGAAAACTTAATTATTTTAGTAGTGTCAATATTAGAAAACTCACATGTTTGCGTAGTACTACTTTAAAGCTCATATATTTAATTAAAGCTAACTTAAAATGTCAAGGTAAAGACACTCAATACCTCGATATCCACAAGAACATGCTAATGACCAGAAAAAGCATGACTGTGAAGTTAACTCAAAAAACTCTTTAAAAGGTTTTTATCTTGGCCCAGTCTGAACTTAAGGGGTGGGTCTAAATAAAAAGAGCCAGTGGAAAAGGGAGAGTCAAGGTGTAAAAAGAGCAGATGATGCAGCCACAGTTGAGCAGGTGCCAGTGAGATAAATAAATGACAACTTTAACGCTGTTTAAGTCTAAGGCCAATATTGCATTGAACAATCCAGACTGTTTATTATATTTTCAGGGAAGTACACTCGCCGTCTCATCATGCACCAACAGACCAGTTAAGTGAGACAAAGTAAGAGCAAAGACATATTTAACGTCTTATTTTATTAATACATACTGTAAGATTATAATTGTTTTGTTGACCAGCCAAACTCAAACGCTCCCTGATTTAAAAAAAAGCACCATTGATACGTGTAATGGCTGCAGGTGAGGTGAAACAATACAATATTTATGCTTTCATTTTGTCATTATTTTTCTTTGTTTGCATTATTTTTCATTTGATTTATTTTAGAAAACTCATCAACAAAGTCCTGGGGAATTATTCTCTGAAATGGACCAAAAGTGAAAAAAATCACCAGGAACTCAGGTAATTACTTTCAATACCTTCCAGCAGATGGAGGTTGTTCAAGTATTGACAAATCTGAGTTGAAGGTTAAGTGTGTTGATTTTTGCAGCACAGAAGGAAGAGGAGTCAATATTTGTTCAATAGAATTAAGTGATAGAACCATAAAACTCCATGTTAAAGTTAAGATACCTGACTTTCAAACCACAAACATTAAAATCCATGTGACTCCCATGTAATTCCTGGCTCTAAAACAGTTCTACTCGACATCACATTAATGTATGTTTGGCCTAAGTCACATTGGGAGATCACTTCTACATTATAATGCCTTTGTGCCCATCATAAAATCCGACTCCTCCTGCCCACGGTTCCTTGCATCATAAACAATGTCCTATGAGATGTTAATCAGTGTAGTTTTTCCTCAGATCTCTCCTCATCAACAACTGTAATGGTTTTCAAATGGCCTTCGTAACACAGACCAACAGTCCTCTAGGGACAAAAATCATATATGATGGTGAAAAGAGGGTCCACACTGTCGATAAGGATCTTTACAACAGTATTCCAAAAGTAAGTGCTTACAAACTTAAGGCTACAGTACCTACTTCACTTTTTCTCATATTGGTTCTAATTGGTAAACCGACTGCCTCAGTACATGCCACGTACGGTGCGGGTGGAGATCTGCTGACCTTGATTGGGGATATTGTCTGGCTGAAGTCCCCAAGGTGGTTGGCAGCCTCCTTGGTGGCAAGGCTCCGGGAGTGGATGAGATCCATCCTTACTATTATAAGTTTCTGGATGTAGTCGGAGTGTCTTGGCTGACACGTCTCTGCAGCATTGCGTTGTGATTGGGGGCGGTATCAATGGAGTGGCAGACCGGGGTAGTCCTTCTCTACAAGAAGGGGGACCAGAGGGTGTGTTCCAATTATCTTGGGATCACACTCCTCAGCCTCCTTGGTAAGGTCTACTCCAAGGTACTGGAGAGGAGACTACGATCAATGGAGCCGGAGCTGCGTTCACATCGCCTGTTCCCGGACCCGGAGCATGTTGGCCTCCGCCAAGGCTACCTTTTGTCATTGGTTCTGTTCACTGTCTTTATGGACACATTTTCTCGGCTGTTTGTGGACAATGTTGTCCCGTTGGTTCCAACGAACCAAGACCTGCAACATGGAGGACGTGTGTGTGGATAGGGAAGTCTGGGTGTCAAATTTCTGGTCAAATTTACTTTATTGCACGCCTCGTGTGTACTAAACAGTAAGTCAGTAGAAATCCAAGGGTAGATTTCGTAGATTTTTTTCTCCATCTTCTTCATTTGAGTGTTGAGTTTAGGGGAAAGAAGGATCCTTACAACCACCTGTGCGCCTAAATGAATGCTATTATTTTTGTTCCTCTAGGACATTCACTTCTCTAATAAAGTACTGGACACATGTGCAGTTGTTGGGAATGGAGGGATTCTAGTGAACAGCAGCTGTGGAGCCGCCATAGACTCTGCCCAGTTTGTGATCAGGTCACAGCAGTGTTGAAGCTATTGAGAAAAGCCCCTCTCTGAATGGATCTAATCTATTTTCCTGTTTTGTTTTAGATGTAATCTCCCTCCTTTGGACAAAGGCTTTTGGAAACATGCTGGCAAAAAGACAAACATTGTGACGGCAAACCCTACCATCATTAATAAGAAGTGTGTTCTGACATTTTAATGGTCATTTATTTGGCCACATATTTGTTACACAGACTTTCTCTATGAAGTTAGTTGTGACTGTTTCTGGCTGTTTCTCAGGGCATTCTCTCGTATCTCCAAAAGTGCCATATTGGAAGTTACATCAGTCATGAAAAAACAAAAACAAGAGCATAACAGCTCATAAACACCGCACGCGTCATGTGAAGCAGAGAGACTTGCGTAGCAGCGCGTCATGCTAATTTGAAATACACACAAATGTTATCAGCAAGGACTGTACACACCGCACAAGAAGACAAGCGTAAAGGGGCGCGTAGCGTCACGTGCCGAGCTGCGCTCGCCAGCCCAAAGTAAGAGCCTTGCGTATGTTTTACTTACTCAGCTCTAGATCAGCTCCACACACACAGCACTTGTATCTAAACATTAGCAGGAGGACTGGCAGATTTGACAGGACAGTTTTGTTGCTTTACATCAGTTCTCTGGCCCGTACTGTCTGTGGCTGAGTTTACACGGAGACAATGTGGCAGTAAAACGGTATAGTTGGATGTCGGTTGCTACCAACCGTTCATACGGAGACTGTGTTCCAGGGGGGTGAAAACGTAAGTGTTCAGATCCAGCCTGCAGAGTGGGACAACTCAGATACGCTGCACAGCAGGGAGCTTTTTCACACCCGCGAGAGGGGAAAGGTGTGAAATCCCCCTCTGCTCTGACCCCCGCCTCCGTGCTGCTCCCCGCACGTACATTTGGACATGCGCAGTAGCGGAGAACAAACATAAACAAAAATGGCGCTGCGCGCACTAACTAACTACGTGGGCTTCCAGCGCGGGACAGAGGATAATTCTACTCCTTCGTTCGTCCAAACGAGACCACGCGAAGCTCTAGGTTCAGTTTCCATTTTCACAGCTGCTGTTAAAATGCAGATAGATGTTGGTGCGTTCTGAGGGTCTGGCACAGGAAGTGAGTACACTGCCGAGAGGGGGGCTGGGCACGGGGCTCGGGGTCGTGTGTCGTGTTGTAAAGTTTCTCTGCCCACTACTGGCCGGGCGCTAGAACTACATCGTTTTTCAACCTCATGTGAACGCTGAGAAATTTGCATTAGGAGCCAGGTCGTTTCTGTTAATAGCCTGGAAACGTCTGCGCAGCGTCTCAGTATAAACAGGGCCTGTGTCTCTGTGCACTCTGTCAGTGTGTACACAGCCGAGTCATTAGGGGAGAAGTTAAAACACCGTACCTGACAAATTTCACAGCTTTTCTACATCATCAAACATGATTGTCTAACCACAGCAATGTAAATGGGCATTGCACCTCTAGTGCCTCTAGTTCTGACCATCAAAATAAATCCTGAGAGCCGTGATCAAAAACAAATGTCACTATACAAAACAGTTTCATAGGTTCTGAGCTTTACAAGGTACTCCATATATTGGCTGAGATAAAGTTGGCTGGATAACAATTTTGGTTAGCAAGGGAGCGGGCCACAATTGGCCCACGGGCCTTTTTTTGGACATGCCTGCTTTAAATCCTTGGGGAAGACACAGTCAGATGAAGGACTAACGTTATCCACAGCCAATGGTGAGCTGGGTGGTTCAAACTTAACTTTTTAGTGTCTCCATGATACTTTAGTCAATCATCAAAAATACATCAGTCTATGTTTCAATTCCACCTCCAGAGGATTGCTTTCTGTGTGGAGTTTGAATGTACTTCCTGTGTCTGTGTAGCTTTCTCCCAGGCACTCCAGTTTCCCTACCACTAATAAAATGTACAATAGTTTAGGGTGAATGCAGGTTACTAACAACTGTTGTAATGAGGTCCTCTTTCTTTGTTTTAGTCAGCTGAATCAACTATGATCCCAACCATTACGTACTTTAGTAACTTTGAAGGTGATTTCCTTTCAGGTACGGGGGTCTACGCCGACGTCGTCGCCAGTTTGTGGAGGACGTCAGTGTGTATTCTGAGTCGCTGCTCTTCCTTCCAGCCTTTTCCTTTGCGTTCTGCACTGGCTTGAGCATGTCGGTCTTGTACACACTGGAGGACTTCAAGAGCTCAGTCAGAACAGTTTTCTTTAACCCGGATTACCTAAAACAATTGGACACATTCTGGCGTTCCCAAAAACTCAACCCTCGTGTCAGACTCAGCACGGGGTTCATGATGGTTAGTTTGGCATTAGAAATATGTAACAATGTGGATGTATTTGGCTTTTGGCCATTTGAATATCACCCCTATAATTATCAGCCATGCACAAACCACTATTACGACGACCAAAAGGCAAGTAGTTTTCACGCAATGCCTGCAGAGTTTGCCTATCTGATACAGCTTCACAATCAAGGGGTGCTTAAACTTCATTTGGGAGCTTGCCCTCCACACTGAATGCCGAAACCAGACCAGATGTATATGAAATGTTTATTATTATGAAAACAATCCTATATATAAAAACAAAAAGTATCAGGAGGCAAGACACTATTTTCTGACTACATGGCCTCCCCATATGTTTACATGTTATGTTTCTGATAAAGAAAGGGGTATATCCTGTACTTTTACTCATGAAATAATTGATAGGGAGTGTTCTTATATTGCTTATATTCTTCTTGTATTAAGTTTGTGAATGTGGATGAGTAAGTGTGTGATTGGAACTCTTCCTGTAGTCAACCCTCATAGAAGGAAATGGTTTGCGGCAATAGATAGATGAATGTGATAACAAATATGAAATGACAAAAATGTTTGACAAGGCTCAAAAGAGTGCTCGGGGAACAAATAAGGTGCGGTGCTCTTCCAAGACAAGTGGCTTCTAGGCATGAGTGTAGTGATAAGCGTCTGAAGCAATAAGTTACTTTATTATGCTACGTGTACTTATTTTTTAAACCAATAGGATGCGCTGGTGCACCCTTTATTGTGACCAGAACGTGCCACTGCTTCAAATTAACATGTGTTTGTTAAAGGACCCATATTACGCTTTTTGACTTTTCTCTGCTTTAAACATGACTTCAGTGCTGAGTACAGTGAGTAGTTTTTCCATTTATTCTTTCAAGCTTTTGATAGAGAGCGATCTTTCTCTTTCACCCATGAGAGGCAGCGAAACACGGGTCCACATCTGTGACGATTTCCACATTGATGACGAATATGACACGCATAAGCCCTTTTTTTGCATTTAAATTGTTCTTAAATACTGTCGTCAAAACAGGGAAAAAATACACAATAGATATGCTGTTTGTTGTCAAAATAATACAAGTAATAATAATACTTAAATTCAGGAAGTGATTGACAAATCGAAACAACAAATCACAGCCAGCTCCCGAGTCCAGCTCCAGTTTGGATATTTCATGACACTTTGAAGCTACTGTGGTGAACGTTGTAACTCATCATTCTAACAATATGCACAAGGCAGACTTTTTCCACTACATGTTTTGGTAATATCAAGGTTGAAGCTACTGGCACCGTGGTAAATGCTAACATGCTAATAATGCTAATAAGTCTCCATTCCTCCGCTGTATGTCACTTACATTCTGTAACGTCTTTGTTTATGCATACCATCGACAATAAAACATGTCTTCTGTGTGAATTAAAGACAAGATCCTAGACTGTTGTTTTATTCACTTTAAATTCTAATCCACAGCTAGTGTTACAGTCAAGCTTTTGCACTGCTAAACAACTGAAGGTTTGGATAAACATTGATACTGTAACTTTTCCGTCTGTGGGTTAAGGAACTCAGAGTTAAGGTCCTGAAGGACAAATCCTGCATCGTACAGAGCCGTGTAAGTAAGGATTGGTGAATGAACTTATCATTCTCAACAAAACAATGTGTCTGTGCTGTGTTCTTTTCAGGTCAAACATTCAGTGTTTATTTAAAACGCCGACTCATACCTGATGTGGCAAGACCAGGTCTGGTGGCCTATGCCATCGACTGTATATAATAACGGACAGAGTCACGCCTATCTCCGCCATGTTGGCCATGAAAAGTGCTTTCATGGAGCAATCCAAGATGGCCGCGAGTGGTCCCGCCCACAAGAAAATTGTGAAAAAACGCATCTGCGCATGCGTCAGCCGGCGCAGCTCCATTCATTTGAACGAGAGACTTCAAAAATAAACTAGAGTGGACCAAAAAAAATTCACCCCCCTCAGCATTGACACACATTTAATAGTTACCTAATGTAACTTAAGCTCTACGAATAGGAGCGTAGTCCCTTAGCGGACTTCGCTAGTGGGATATCACGTGACCCCCAGGTCACACGCCAGAGAGATCAAAATAATTTGCTCCAATCACTAGCGACCCTCCTCTATAAAGGCCCTTGCACAAGGCCGCACCTATTCGTAGAACTTAAGTTACATTAGGTAACTATTAATTCTACGTCATGCTGCTACGTCCCTTAGCGGACTTCGCTAGTGGGACACAACGCGGAGGCCGTAGGAACATGTACTCCCAGCAGGCCAGCGAAGAGTGATTGGAGCTCCGCCCGAGCAAGACCCCCACAGTGAGAGGGCTCAGGGCAGAAAAAGCAATTGCGTGTTACAGGGCCACTCCTCCCAAGGATACCCCCAAGTAACACAGACCGAAGGTCACTCATAGTCCCAGGACGCCTCTCCCAAGAGCTCCTGACGTGGACTACCTGACTGACCAAAGCACACAAAAATATCGCACCTGCAGGACGCCTCTCCCAAGAGCTCCTGAACAGGGCAGAAAGTCAAGGTCAACCTCTAATAGGGGACAAAAAGGTTACAACTCAGTCCGCTGCACTAAGCACAGAATGGGCCACCGACCGGTCCGACACATCCAAAAGGTAAGACCGGACGAAAGAAGAGGACGACGCCCAAGAAGCCGCACGGCACACGTCCTCGACCGACGCGCCCCTGAGGAGGGCCGTAGAGGCCGCCACCCCACGCGTGGAATGCGACCTGAAGCCCACCGGGGGGGCCAGGCCCTGAGCCTGATACGCCCGCCGCACAGCCTTGGCGACCCAGTGCGCCAGCCGCTGAGCCGACAGCGGGGCCCCCCTGTTCTTGGGGCCCAGACACACAAACAGCTGATCAACCAACCTGAATGAAGACGTCATGGCCAGGTAATGCCTAAGCATTCTGACAGGATACAGAAGGTGCCGCCGCTCCTCCTCGGGGGAGGCATGCGGCGGCGGATGGAATGCCCTAATCCTGATCACTCTCGACCTGAAGGCCGACGTGATAACCTTAGGGAGAAAAGCCGGATTGGGCCACAACTCGCCCTCTCCAAAGGACAGGCAAGACGCATGGACGGAGAGCGCACACAAGTCGCCCGCCCTCTTAGCAGACGCCAACGCCAGCAAGAGGGCAGTCTTAAAAGCAACACACTCGGGACTCGCCTCCGCCGCCGGTTCAAAAGGCGGGCCAGACAGACCCCTAAGGACCACCCTGAGGTCCCAAACCGGGGGCGTTCTCTGAAGCGGGGGCCTCCTCCTGTGCGCCCCCCGCAGGTTGGGAATGGGATACCCTTTTTGACGGTTTGGGATACTTTCTGACGGGCAACCACCGGAGGGCGCTCTAAGCTTGATTTTTGAAGCTTTAGGATGAAATGGGTTTTTTTGAGTTCTTCAGTGCTAGGTAGGGGTTGCTGTGGGGGGCACTTTAGGGTAGCCCTCCATGAAATCAGTTTGTTAGTGCTAATGAGGCGACCCGCTGCTGCTGTGGGGGGCACTTTAGGGTAGCCCTCTATTAAATTAGTTCATTAGTGCTAATTAGGGGCCCCACTGCTGCTGTGGGGGGCACTTTAGGGTAGCCCTCCATGAAATTAGTTTGTTAGTGCTAATGAGGCGCCCCGCTAATGCTGTGGGGGGCACTTTAGGGTAGCCCTCCATGAAATTAGTTTGTTAGGGCTAATGAGGGGCCCCGCTGCTGCTGTGGGGGGCACTTTAGGGTAGCCCTCCATGAAATTAGTTTGTTAGTGCTAAGGAGGTGCCCGGCTGCTGCTGTGGGGGACACTTTAGGGTAGCCCTCCATGAAATTAGTTTGTTAGTGCTAATGAGGCGCCCCGCTGCTGCTGTTGGGGCACTTTAGGGTAGCTTGTACGTAGAAGGGTGCGTACCAAGTTTCGACTAGTTTGGATGAAATTTGAACTTTTTACAAGCCTCCAAGCACTTTTTGGGCCTTCAAAAGCCTAACATTAAAGGGGAGGTGTACCAAAATTTCAACTTTGGACTACCAGCCTCATTTTTGACTATGTTACACAGCAGGCTATTCTGAGCTCGAATATGTAGGCGCCCACTCAAACCGACCAATAGGAAGCAAAGTAGCCAACCGAGTGCCCGGTCGGATCGTGTGGAAGGAGGAGTGTACCGAATTTGGACTTGTTTGGATTTAATTTGAAGCCGTGACGAGCTTAATTGGCGTGATTTTTTTGACCGAACGAAGGCCCGCCCACCGAGAACCGTAAGGCCCCCAGAGGTCTAACATACACCGTTGGACTCGTCTCGTAGCCATCTACCGCATATCCGAAATTCAGTTATCCCCAGTAGAACATATCGTGAGCAAATCTGGCCTAGCCAGTCAACATGGTGTCAGGACCATAGACCCTAACCCCACCTTGAAATGCTAGCTTGGCAAAGCTCAGATTCTTTTCCGAAGGTCGCACAGGCACAAGCCAGACCTCCACGGAACCGGCTCGGCCAGCCGAACGCAACGGTGTAAAGCTTTTGTCCCTGCCATGTTCCATCGTGGAGCTAGGGGGCGACAACCCTTTGAAACCCCCACCTCGTTAAGTGTTATAACTCGGCCAAACGAGGTCGTACAGCGATGGTACAGGGATCGTTGGAAAGCCCTCCACGTGACGAGTCACATATATGAGCTGCAGCAAGGTCAGCCAAAATTCAAAATTTGTTCACCAATTGTAGGGACGTTTAAAAAGATACAAAGTTATTAGTATTTTTCCCATTATCCCAGACGCACAGGCTATGACCTGTCCAAATTGGAGAGCTCTAGCTCCAACTTTGCGCAAAACTTGTGAAAAACAACTTCCCCTTCATTGAGCGTGTCCAGCTGGGGTCAGAGACACCGCTGTGTGACTGGCATCTCTCTAGAGTGTTGTGAAAAAAAGTTGTGGTTGTAGAGCTGTCCTACTGCTACCAGTGGTTTGGGTGAAAATTAGCATTAGCATTAGCAGTAGCAGTATCAGTAAAAAAAAAGTAATGTTAGCATTAGCATTAGCATTAGAAAGTAGCTCAAAATGTAGAAAAAGTAGCCCAAGTTACAACAGCAAAATGGGCTACTTAAAAGTAGCCAGAAATGTAGAAAAAGTAGCCCGTTACAACAGCAAAATGGGCTACTTAAAAGTAGCCAGAAATGCATACAAAGTAGCTCAAAATGCACAAAGAGTAGCCCAAGTTAATACGGAACAATGGGCTACTTAAAAGTAGCCACACCTTAACCACTCGACTGCCTACTGGTTGAAGTTATAAACTTCATATAAACCAGATCAGATAGGGACCAGGCGGGTGTCCCGGAGGGACAGGGGGAGGGACACCCCCCTGGTCCTGGAGGGTCCAGGCTTGGGGGTCTCAGACCGGGACCAGGTCTGGACCAGGACCCTGTCCGGGGGGTTCTTGCTCATCTAAGTTTTCGCTTTTCAGCTGGTCGTGGCACTACAGAGGGGTCTTTAGGCAGTAGCAAAACGACAGGGTCATTGACTTTGGGAGGAGCTTTAACCATTGTAACATTGCTGGTGGTCTCAAGCTTGATCTTTGGCGCGGCAGAGGGAGGGACACTTTTTAGCTTTTTGGGTATATATATATATATATATATATATATATATAGCAGCTGGATAGCTCAGTTGGTAGGGCACAGGACTGGGACCTGGGAGGCCAGGGTTCGAATCCCACCGGGAGCACATTAACACCAACATCCAGTGAGGGTCCTTGGGCAAGACCCTTAATGCTACTGCCTAACTCATAACCATGAAGGTACAAATAAGCAATGAGATGCCGGATCAGCCGTCGCCCGGCCAAACAAGGTCTGCGTCAGGTGCTGGGGAACCAGAGCACCTTGATGAAAAGTGGGCTACTGGAACAAGGCGAAAGTGGACGAGATGCGATAACAGGGCTCTGTTGGAATGCTACTACTCGAGTAACCCTGGCCAAAGAGGTTACATGCAGAGAATGTGGGCTGAATGGTTACTTCGAAACCCACAGTCACAGTTGACCCCGAAACAACTGGTAGCTCAATGCTCCAACATCCACAAACGGCAACTGCTATCACAGCTTGAGATTGATGAAGTACAACACATATATGATGCCACAGTTGCCGAGGTCAGAGGGGAGATCCCACCAACTGCAACTCCCCAACCAGATATTGGGTACATAGCCCCAATGGAACCGATAACGCTGAACGAGGCAGCGACTGACCTGAAAGCTAAGATCATGGCTAGAATGGGCACAGGGCAAAGACACCGGTTACAGCGGTTGTGTGAAGTACCACCTAAGGATCTCATAGAAAGCGTGAATGCAGCAGTGAGGGCAATACCTACCACCACAATCACTGAAACCAATGAGCTGATATACACTTCAGCAGCAGTGATCCTAGAGATGCTTGGCTATAAGAGCAACCATGGGAGCCATGGACAATACCCACCATGGAAAAGACGGTTGGAGGCTAAGATCAAGGCGGGTCGGAGAGAAGTGAGTCAATTAACAGAGGCCCAGAGAGGTGCAATGAAAAGACCAGTACCCAGAAAGTACAGCCAGATGACCATACCTGAAGCACTCGAAACTGCCAAACAAAGGCTCCAAGCCCTGGCCAGCCGCCTACAGAGGTACACTAAAGAGAATGAAGCCAGAAGGGTGAACAGGCTGTTCGCAACACAACCTGCGAAGGTGTACGCTCAGTGGCAGGGTAACAACAGGGGAGCAGATCCACCGAGGCTGGAAACTGAACAGTTCTGGAGGAACATATGGGAGAAGGATGCAGCACATAACAGAAGTGCACAATGGCTGGTGTCCCTGAGAGAGGAGCACAGCCACCTCCCAGAACAGAACTCAGTTACCATCACAGAGGCAGACATCCGAGAAAGAGTCTCAGGTATGAAAAACTGGACAGCACCTGGCCCTGATATGGTCCATGCCTACTGGCTAAGGACACTCACATCACTCCATGAGCGCCTAGCAGCACAAATGAACCAGCTGCTGAGAGATGGGACTCACCCAGAATGGCTAACCGAAGGGCGAACGGTCCTGATCATGAAGGACCCTGTCAAGGGTGCAGTCCCCTCCAACTACCGGCCAATAACCTGTCTCTCCACAACATGGAAGCTCATGTCAGGCATCATTGCGGCTAAGATAAGTGGGCATATGGAACAATTCATGAGCACAGCACAGAAGGGCATTGGTAGGGACACCAGAGGAGCCAAACACCAGCTCCTGGTTGACAGAACAGTCGCCCAAGACTGCCGGTCACGACACACCAACCTGTGCACAGCCTGGATTGATTACCAGAAAGCCTACGACTCAATGCCACACACATGGATCATGGAATGCTTGAAGTTGTACAATATCAACAGGGCTCTAAGGGACTTCGTTGCAAACTCGATGGGAATGTGGAAGACCACCCTTGAGGCAAATGGCAAGCCGCTCGCACAAGTGACCATCAAATGTGGTATCTACCAAGGAGATGCTCTGTCCCCACTACTGTTCTGCATAGGCCTCAACCCTCTAAGCCAAGTAATTGACCAGACTGGCTATGGATACCGCCTCAGGAACGGAGCAAAGATCAGTCACCTCCTCTACATGGATGACATCAAGCTGTACGCCAAGAGCGAGAGAGACATCGACTCTCTGATCCAAACAACCAGGATCTACAGCCATGACATCGGGATGTCATTCGGGCTCGAGAAATGTAGCAGGATGGTGACTCGGAGAGGCAAGGTAGTCCACACAGAAGGGATCTCACTCCCAGAGGGAACAATAGCAGACGTTGAGGACAGTTACAAGTATCTCGGTATACCACAGGCAAATGGCAACCTCGAACAGGTGACGAGGAAAGCGGCAACTGCCAAATACCTCCAGCGAGTAAGGCAGGTCCTAAGAAGCCGGCTCAATGGCAAGAACAAGGCCCGGGCAATTAACAGCTACGCCCTGCCAGTGATCAGATACCCTGCAGGAATAATCAGGTGGCCAAAGGAAGAGATTCAGACCACGGATGTTAAAACTCGAAAGCTCCTTACCATGCATGGCGGGTTCCATCCCAAATCCAGCACCCTGAGACTGTACGTAAGCCGTAAAGAAGGAGGCCGAGGACTAGTGAGTGTGAGAGCCACTGTCCAGGACGAAACATCCAAACTCCATAACTACATCATGGAGAAGGCCAAAACGGATGACGTACTCAGTGAATGTCTCAGGCAGTGGCGAGATGAGGAGGTGCTGGAGGAGAGCCCATCATGGGAGAACAAGCCCCTACACGGCATGTACCACCGGAGCATAACAGAAGTGGCTGATCTCAAGAAGTCCTACCAATGGCTAGAAAGGGCTGGCCTACAGGACAGCACAGAGGCACTCATCATGGCTGCACAGGAACAGGCACTGAGCACCAGAGCGATAGAGGCCCAGATATACCACACCAGACAAGACCCAAGGTGTCGGTTGTGCAAAGAGGCACCTGAGACGATCCAACACATAACTGCAGGGTGCAAGATGCTGGCAGGGAAGGCCTACATGGAACGTCATAACCAAGTGGCTGGCATAGTGTACAGAAACATCTGTGGAGAGTATGGGCTGGAAACCCCAAGGTCTAAGTGGGAAACTCCTCCAAAGGTGGTGGAAAATGAGCGTGCGAAGATCCTGTGGGACTTCCAGATACAGACCGACCGAATGGTAATGGCAAACCAACCTGACATCGTGGTGGTAGACAAAGGGCAGAGGACAGCCGTGGTGGTGGACGTGGCAATTCCAAGCGATGGTAACATCCGGAAAAAAGAACATGAAAAGCTTGAGAAATACCAAGGTCTCAGAGAGGAGCTGGAGAGGGCCTGGAGGGTAAAGGTGACAATAGTGCCCGTGGTGATCGGTGCACTCGGGGCAGTGACCCCGAAGCTAGATGAGTGGTTACAGCGGATCCCCGGAACAACCTCGGACATCTCGGTCCAGAAATGTGCAGTGCTAGGAACAGCAAAGATACTGCGCAGAACCCTCAAGCTCCCTGGCCTCTGGTAGAGGACCCGAGCTTAGAGAGGGATAACCGCCCGCGGAGGGCCAAAGGTGAGTGGACAATTTTTATGCTTCTAGTCCATGTAGATTACAGTGTATTTGTAATCTTCATCAGTCGTGATTTTAAGATCCTCTCTGGTCTCCCCGCTCTCATCCATCAGATGCTTACAAATGCTTTAACCTGAAAACGAGAACAAAATGTTCAGAGGGCATGCAGACTCTCACTCAGTCTCGCTGTTCTCTCCTTTGACCAGAAGTCTCTTTCCACTGGACGGGACAGGGTCTTTAGGCTTGTTCTTTTTATCCTTGTCAAGCAGCTCAAGGCCATCATTGATTTTCTTGAGCATTTCAAAACGCTCACAACACTTAACCTGAAAGATTAACACCTTCAATCAATCAATCAAAGTTTATTTGTAGAGCGCCTTTCATACACAGGGCAACACAAAGCGCTTCACAGTCCACATCACAAATCATCACATAAAACAAACACCAGAATCACAATTAAAACATTAAAATCACACAAAAGATTAAAACACAATTAAAACATTAAAATCACACAAAAGATTAAAACACAATTAAAACATTAAAATCACACAAAAGAATAAAACCATTAAAACTTTCAAAATTACACAAGAAATTTAAAAAAAATAAATAAATGACAGCAGTGCATTAGAAATGGAGATAAAATCCTTCAGTTGTATGCACAGGCAAACAGAACAGTCTTTAACCTGGATTTGAACATTGACAGAGTAGACGCCTCCCTCACATTTTCAGGGAGATTGTTCCAGATCTTAGCTGCATGGATCTGAAACGCAGCCTCCCCATGTTTGGTTCTCACTCTGGGCACCAGCAGGAGGCCAGTCCCTGTGCTCCTCAGAGTCCGGGCCGGTTCATATGACACCAACATGTCACTAATGTATTCTGGTGCAAGGCCATGGAGAGACTTGTACACAAGCAGAGCCGTTTTAAAATCTATTCTTTGAGCCACAGGAAGCCAGTGCAGAGACCTGAGGACCGGACTAATATGGTCATACTTCCTGGTTCCTGTCAGGACTCTAGCTGCTGCATTTTGGATGTACTGCAGCTGCTTACAGGTCTGTTTGGACAGACCTGTAAGCAGGCCATTGCAGTAGTCTAGCCTGCTGGAGACAAATGCATGGACAAGAATCTCCAAGTCTGCCCTGGACACTATATTTCTAACTTTGGCAATGTTCTTCAGATGGTAAAAAGCTGTTGATGTTATTGATTTTATGTGGCTATTGAAATTTAGGTCTGAGTCCAGTATTACCCCCAAATTTCTGACCTTGTCTGAAGGAAGTAGGGAGAGAGACTGAAGTTGACAAATGACGCCCTCTCTTTGTTTCTGGGGACCAAAGACAATGATTTCGGTTTTGTCTGCATTTAGCTGGAGGAAATTATTTTGCATCCAGTCACTGATCTGTTGGATACAGTGAAGGAGCAAATCCAGTGGTCCATGTTCTCCTGCAGTCAGTGAGACATAGATCTGAGTGTCGTCGGCGTAATTGTGGTAGGACACTTTGTTTCTTTGTATTAACTGACCTAACGGCAGCATGTAGAGATTAAATAGGAGAGGTCCCAGGATCGACCCCTGTGGTACTCCACAGGTCAGGGCCACATCATCTGAGACGCAGTCTCCAATCTCCACAGAGTACTTCCTATCCTCCAGGTAAGACCTAAACCAGTCTAGGGCTGTGCCAGTGACACCAACCCAGTCCTCCAGTCTCTGCATGAGGATCTCATGGTCGACAGTGTCGAACGCGGCACTAAGATCTAACATGACCAAAACTGTGACTTTACCTGCATCAGTGTGAAGTCGAATGTCGTTTGTTACCTTCACTAGAGCGGTCTCAGTGCTGTGGTGGGGTCTAAACCCAGACTGGAACATATCAAAAGAATTATTCATTGTTAAAAATTCAGTAAGTTGTTGGGAGGCCACTTTTTCAAGAATTTTTCCAATGAATGGCAGATTCGATATGGGGCGATAATTTTGAAGTCCCGCAGGATCCAGACTGCTCTTTTTTAGGAGAGGTCTTATGACTGCTGTTTTTAGGGCCATAGGAAATGTTCCTGACGACAGAGACATGTTTACTATTTGTGTCAGTGAAGGTAACAAACTGCTCAGGACGGACTTCAGAAATTTGAGGGCAATATATCCAGGCTACATGTGGAGGAGCTCAGACTCATGATTATCTTTTTGACAGTTTCAGTATCCACAGGTGCAAAGTGAGTTAGCTCAAAAAGCTTCTCTGGCTGTTGCATTGTTATACGTGCTGTGGAGGTGATAGTGTTTTTGATTCCTTGTACTTTGTCATTGAAAAACTGTGCGAACTCATTACACCTAGATTTAGAGGAAAATTCTAGGGGCAACTTTACAGGGGGGTTCGTTAATCTACCAACTGTTGAAAACATAACACGAAAATTGTTACTGCAACCTCCAATAATGTCAGAAAAATACATTTCTCTTGTTCTACGTAGAACCCGGTTAAATTCACCCAACTCATCTTTAAAGATTTCATAATCGCCCTGGAAATTGGACTTTCGCCACTTCCGTTCGGCCCTCCGGCACTCTTGCTTCTGTGCCCTGACCGAGTCTGCCTTAGTCCATGGGGCCTTTTTCTTACTGGTAACTATTTTAACCGTCACAGGAGCAATGGCGTCCAGAACAGTCAGAACACTGGTGGTGACAGAGTTATACAATTCATCAACAGTAGAGCATGGAGTTTTCTCAAAATTTAGCATTCCCATGAACAGTTCACTTGTGTTTTCATGTATGTGTCTTCTTCTAACAATTGTAAATTCAGCTGGTGGTTTGCTAGCAAAACACATGTCAAAAAATACACACAAATGATCTGACAAAGCAACATCAACTACATTAACATTTGATACATTAACCCCCTTTGTAATTAGCAGGTCAAGAGTGTGCCCCCTGCTGTGGGTGGGGCCACTCACGTGCTGAATGAAACCAAAGGTCTCAAATACAGAAGCCAGCTCCTTTGCATTTCTGTCATCAACATTATCAACATGTACATTAAAATCACCTGTAATAACTAAACTATCAAAATCTGTGCACACGAATGAAAGTAGTTCAGTAAAATGGTCAATAAAATCGCAACATGACTGTGGTGGCCTGTACAGGACAATGAAAAGAGTAGAAGATTGCTTTTGTTCCATTTTAAAAGAAATATACTCAAACGATGAAACATTTCCAAGGGGCATTCTATGGGAGACAAAGTGCTCTCTAAAAACTGCAGCTATGCCTCCCCCCCTTTTGTTTTCTCGTATTTCGGATTCGAATTTAAAATTGGGTGGTGTTGCTTCTATTAGAACTGCATTTCCTGTATTTTGGTCCAGCCATGTTTCAGCCATAAGCATAAAATCAAGATCATAAGAAGTGATAAAATTATTAATTAAAAATGATTTGTTACATAGAGATCTGACATTAAGCATAGCAAGTTTAAAAATAACGTCAGAGTCGATTAATGTGGTTGATTGATTTCTACAGGGAACAGAAATTAGATTTGCAGAGTTGGACCGTCTAACTGCTGTCCTGTTTTGATTTCGTTTTTTAGAATTTAAAAACATTTTTGAGCTGGTGCGAGGAACACACACAGTCTCAATTGGCCTAAAATGTGAAAACCCTTGTTGTTCTTTAGCTCCCAGAGTCAGAAGGGAGTCAGCACAGTTCAGTGTTTGGACTGGTAATGCACTGCCAGACGGACAGGGAGCAGTGTTTGCACCGTTGTACTCACCCGGTGCTGGTGAGCAGGAGGCGGGGGAGTGCGGTGGGGTCCGAGGGGGCTCAGATGTAAACAGTCACGCCCCCCTCGGGGAACGCTGAACAACATGACGCATGTAATCCATCAACAGGCTGCTACCGTATCTGTTTGGGTGTAATCCGTCTGGACGATAGGCTTCGTAACGTTTCCAGAAAAGGGCAAAGTTATTCACAAAGACAAAGTTAAAAGAGCTGCATGTAGCCTGGATCCACATATGCAGCGCCACAACACGACTGTAGAGGCAGTCACCTCTGTTTACAGTCGGGATTGGACCAGAAATAAAAACAGATAGTCCGGAGGATTGAAGGAGGTGGAACAGATCCATAAAATGTTTCTTCGTGACTTCTGACTGCTGAAGTTTCATGTCGTTAATTCCCACATGCACGACTACCTTGGAAACGGTATCAGGCAGGGACTGAAGCAGAGGAGGGAGACGGATGAGCAGGTCTGGTACAGTAGCTCCGGGAATACAGCGAGTGACCGCGTTGAAGAAGCGGACGTGTCTCACGATGGAATCTCCAATAATCAGAGTGGTCGGGGCGAAGAGTGGCCTCGGAGAAGGAGCTCGGTGGACGGAACCAGCGGGTTCACCCGAAGCAGGACCGGAGCCTGAGCGCCGCTGAACACATGGAGAGGAGGAGCGGGGGTGCTGACTCTCAGCTACAGGCGACCCACGCTGTGTGCTCGGGGACGCTGTCACCTTGTCATCCTCGTCTCCGCTTGAGGCAGATTTTGATCTTTTGAGAGGAGGAACATCTGGGACACTTTTTAGCTTTTTGGGCTGCTTATATATATATATATATATATATCTAGTGGAGGTTTTTATTTTTTTTCTAACCTTCACTTTTTTGTGAAGGTTTTGTAAAGTAATTGTATTTATTTTTACCAACCATGATCGACAGGGCCAAGCCAAAGTAGCCCTATATAGTTCCTGGGTCATCTTTCAATGTTTAATAAACACTGTAATGTGGTCCCCATGCATACTGGTACATGAACTCTGCCTAAATTGTGAGTGTCATTACTTCTCCCCATGAGAGTTTCAGAGTAAAGGAGCTTAACAGTGATGTAAAGGTCTGATATGACAAGTTTCCTTCAGGTGAAAAAAAAAAGTTACTTTGATTGAACACAAAAATATTAAGTAAATTGATCACAGACGAGTTATGGTATTGCTTTGAAAGGACACACAAATATTAAGTAAATAAATCACTTCAAAGTAATAGTTTTGCATTCTGTCGAATTGAATTGAATATTCTTTATTACTTAATAAAGAACTGAAGTTGATAGTACTCAAAGAGGCCGATGGAACCTCATCAGTATTTTTTTGGTTTCTGATTGAAGCAACACTTTTTAGAGAGGGACCAGACAGAGACCAGACTGAGACCAGAGAGAGCTGACTCATCGTGACCCTGTGTTTTAGTATTAAAGATTGTACAGCATTGTATGGCTTGTAAATACAGTCAGGAGTTTAAGTGTATTTTCTGTGGGCCCAGCTCTGCAGCGTCCTGCTGTGAAACAATAGGTCAGAACAATAGAAGTCACACCTTGGAATGCTGAGGGGGAAGGGGTCTGCAAAGAACAGTGGCTGAGTGGTTAACACTCTCACTTCTTGAGATGACGGTCCTGGGTTCAAAAACCCAAGTGTCCTTGCTCTGCAAGGTGTGCTATATAAACATATAATGGTTTAATGTGGGGGCTAATTTAAACTCAAAACAAAAGTTTTTGTAGGGGACAGTAATCTGAACTTTAAAAAAGTATGTTTTTAAGTTGGGTTCAAATCCAGACCTTCTCATTTATTTTTTGTATAGATTATATAAAAATTTAATATATCCATCCATCCATTGCATTCTACATTTACACTTAGTGAAATCCAGACCTTCTCATTTCTTTTTTGTATTGTACAGCCCTTAACCTGTAAAATAAACAGGTAAAATAAACCTGTAATATAAACAAAATTATATATATATATATATATCATATATATGCTTACAAATGCTTTAACCTGAAAACAGGGCATGCAGACTCTCACTCAGGCTGAGTTTACACGGAGACAATGTGGCAGTAAAACGGTATAGTTGGATGTCGGTTGCTACCAACCGTTCATACGAAGACTGTGTTTCAGGGGGTTGAAAACGTAGTTCAGATCCAGCCTGCAGAGTGGGACAACTCAGATACGCTGCACAGGAGGGAGCTTTTTCACACCCGCGAGAGGGGAAAGGTGTGAAATCCCCCTCTGCTCTGACCCCCGCCTCCGCGCTGCTCCCTGCACGTAAATTTGGACATGCGCAGTAGCGGAGAACAAACATCAACAAAATGATAACAAACTGAGTTAATACTGTATAATGGGATACTTAAAAGTAGCCAGAAATGCATACAAAGTTGCCCAAAATGCAGAAAAAGTGGCCTGACTTACAACAGCAAAATGGGCTACTGTAACCCGACACCGTGAAGACATGAAGTCATACAAGCTAGAGAGGCTGCTTTTCTGCCAATTGTATGTATAAACTTCTGCTGTATAAAGGTATCAAAACAAAAGTGAAGACTTTCGTTTTGTTATTGGCCTCCATGTTCTTAAAAGACAATGCATATGTAGACCTTTCAGAGATGTTAATACATATAAATATTTTGAAAACGAAATTTGACATGCACAAGATGGCGGCTTGTGACACAGCTTCCTCTAGGAGATAAGAGGAGGCTTATAACTTTGCGCGTGCAGAGCCAGAGCCTGCGTCAGTCGGAGCTGGAGGACGGACAGAGACAGAACTGGCTATTACACAGTAAGTACATGAATTCAAATGCAATTTTAAAGTTAGCACTCTTGTTTACATGCTGTGTGCAGCTGCCGACAGGGAGAGAAGGGTGACTAAACTTATAACAACTATTCCAGAGGCTGCAAATGCCAGCCATGTAGGGCTGGGACAACGCGTCGACGTAATCGGTGACGTTGACGCAAAAAATACACCGACGTATAATATGCGCGTCGGTGCGTCACACACAAAACAAAGGCTGTGTCCAAAACGCTAGGCATCGGGCCGCGTAGGGTGGATACGTAGGCACAGAGGGAAGGCCGCGTAGCCACAGGCGAGGTAGGAGGCGAGACGTGATGTGGATTTGGACAGCAGCTGAGAAGGGTCTGTCTGCGGCCTGCAGTACGGAGGCGTGTCGAGTAGTAGGCGTGTCGGGTAGTGACGTCACTACCCGACACGCCTACTACACGAATTTTAAACCCGTTGAAAACTCGAAGAGAAGACATGGCTGATCGTACGCAAACAGTAAGTGACAACCAACAACGTGTTTTATTTATTTTTAGTCCGTCACACAAGTTACAGTGTATTAATGAATAAATGCACATCACCCTGATTAGAAATGTTTTTTAAGAAGTGAACTACTACCATGGATCTACGAATACATTGCAGAGAAAGCAATTTGTATGGGTTTCTTCTGAGAGTCATACTATGTGCGATCAACAAGTCGTTAGGCACTTAGCATGATTGCCCAAGTCATTTTACATCGTTAAAATGGTAATAAAGAGGAAAAACATAACCTTTTCATGTTTTCCAAGCACAGTGGAAAATTAGTTATTAATTATGCAGTTACAGAAGTCACTGACCGTAGTTATTGGATGATGTTACAAGACATTTGTGTTTCTGAGTGTGCACAAATGTCTGTTTATGTCTGCTTTCAGTTACATCCTACGATTGTCAGTGATGGACATGGAGCTGCAGAGCAGAAGCAGAGGAACACGCTCATGTGTGTAACTCATTTTAAACATGGAGAAGTACAGATCATCACACACATGCAAACCCATGAAAGGGCATATGCCAGTACTGTGGAGATGGTGGTGTATATATCTGTATATATCTTCTTCAACAACACTGCTACCAGACAATTACATGTTTTATTGGTTGCTTATTCCAAAGCCTGTGAAATTGTTTGACAAAAAAAAAGTTGTTTCAGTTGCTTTTCTGGATTCTATAATTTGTTTCTTCAGGCATGGAGGACAGTTTGCTCATTTCACCAAAAAGGGAAAACAAATAGTCAATGGATGTCTTTCACCCATCTTCAGACTGAAGAGGAAGAGACAGCCTACTGAAGAGACAAATGTAAAAATGTGACATCACAATCATTACTGAGTGATATTCATAGTGGCCTTGAACGAACACATTAGCAACTTGCATCCTTTTTCAGCAGCGCCCTTGGACAATGAACAACCAGTGCAAGGCAAAAATGACAGAAATTGTCCAGCAAACACAGTTGGTAAGTGACTGACAACATTATAAGACATTACATAAAGTGCACATGTTATGATTTTAATGTTGATACTGATGATAATGTTATGGAATAACGAATGCTAGAACAATTGTGAGTTACTGGAGGATAGCGAAAAGCCACTCCATAATTATTAACAACCGTTATTTCAAAATTATTTGTGAGAAATGTATTTTTAAATTTTAGAAAGCGGTAAAAGAAACACAGTGGGTGCAGCAACTTGAGTGTGCTGACGATCAAGTGCATGAAGGGGAGCAGCTCAATTAGGGAAGGTAAACATATCAGCATGAAGATATACTTAGTAAGATTTCAAAGTGAAAGACTTTCTCAATAATTTGGTTGTTGTCATTTTAGTCATACTGTCAATATGGCTATTACTATCAATAATGACCATCTCCAGCCTCTAATATAACTATTCTTTTTCAGGCTATCTTAACTGGGCCTTGTTTCAACTTGGGAATCCAGGAGGGAGAGGCCAACCCTTTACTTTGAGGACGAGCAACTGGATGAGGTTGTCTCCTTCTTGTTTGCCGTCATCAGGGAGACCCCAAGAGCAAGACAGCAGAACGACTGGATTGACGTCGTCATGATTGTGCTCGTACCGTAAGTATAGCATGATTAACATGTTTGTTTTACATTAGTAGGCCCGAGCGCCTCCAGGTTGGCACAGGGACTATTGTAATGAAAGTGTGCATAAAACAAAGACTGATCCCCCTCAAACATAAACATCTCATGGTACATGTTTCCTGGATGTACACTACTAAAAATAAGTCTGCATTGCAACATTGTTGATGTACAGAGACCATAAAGTCATAAGTGCAAGTCACTGACAATTTTTTAAACAGGACACAACACCTTTTAGGGCTGCATTTGGTTTTGTGAATTGTTGTTGTTGAATGTAACACATTTCACTCTTATTTAGGTGACAGTTCACACTCTGGCCGAGGCATTTCACCTGCCTCAGCAAGAGGCAATTGGAAGATTCAAAAAGGGGCCAAAGTATGAACCATGGTAAGATTATTTTAAATATTGATGGAAATAATTCAATGTTTACTGCAACATCTAATCTGTGATTGTTCTTTTTGGACAGTGAGTTTAAACTGATTGTGGATGCCCTGGTGAGACATTTACCGGAGGAGGCAGAAGGGAAGCTGAAAGCATTTGAAGATGGAGATTAGCGCTCTCTTCTGAAGCCTTTCTCTCAAGATTAAAAAAAAAAAAAAAAATGTGGTTGCAATTTGTTTTGTGTAGAACTTATTCAGTGTCTACATTTCAGAGCCATTCACATAACACAAATTCATAAAAAAGCATGTACATAAAATGCCAGATAACAATAAGATGTTCTTGATGTTTAATCTCTCTCTTCTACATATTTGACAAAACACAATAATTATGAATGTCTGCTTGTCCCAAAATGCCAAAGCAGGGAGCTGAGCACAAAAAATGTTATGGCATGTTCTCTTTATGATCAGTAATGTGAGACCGTGGGCGTTGGAGTGTGTAGTGGTGGTGTAATAATAGCTTTAACTTGTAGTGTGCTTTTCAATCCTGTGTTGACAAGTTTCTCAAAACCACACACTGTAGTCTTTATTCATTTATTCCACACAGTGTGTCACAGCTGGGTTGGAGGATGCCAGGCTACTAATCTGTGCTGTTGGCCACCACCAAGCAGTCTCTCACTATGTCCACACATGTGGGTGAAGTGCATTGCTCAAGAACATACCAGACTGCACTTAGGGCAGCCAGGATTTGAGCCACCAACCATAGCCCCCTTTTATAAATGAATCTACACATTAGACATAAGCACTGACATTATTTGACTCTTAACTTAACTTTTGTCCGGAGCCGCTTCAAATCCCTATTGATTGTCTGAAGTAGTCTGAAGTAATGGCAGCTTTTGTAGGCAAATTTACTACTTTGATATTTACAAAATTCGTCCATTTTCCCCCAATAAATAATGACAAGATCCATGCTCATACCCCTTTAAGAAACGTGGAATGGGCGTGTCGTGTAGTAGGCGTGTCGGGTAGTGACGTCACTACCCGACACGCCTACTACTCGACACGCCTCCGTACTGCAGGCCGCAGACAGATACACTTGAGACAGACCCTTCTCAAAAAGAAGGCAGCGAAGCATACATCAGATGCATCCTTCATATCTGCTCCAAAAGTGGCCGTTTCCATAGAGACGAAGTCACGATGCCTACGCTTGGCGAGCTCGCCAAGTGGTTTTGGACACCCCTGCAATAGCCGTCGCTTGAGGAAGTGACGTCACGAGCCTACATATCCACCCTACGCGGCCCGATGCCTACCGTTTTGGACACAGCCAAAGATGGCGGCGAGCGGTAGCAATGCAAGTGCCGTGTTAGAGAAGTGCAAGCCGGTGTAACGCTGAGATACACTGCCTTGAAGAGATGCACAGCCTCAGCTGTTTATGATGTAATGCAAACCTGCGTATGCGCGTCTCACGGCAGCCGTAGCAAACCAAGATGGCGGACCGTGAATTTCTTTAAAAGTTAAAATACGAACGAATTCAGACACGAATGTCACTTTTAATGCAATTTGAGGCGAGATGTTGATGGTTCCGTTTTGTCACATGTGGGTTTTAAGAGTCAAAGTTTCGTGCAAAGTTTAGTTTAAGCAGTCAACTGCGCCTGTGAAACCACAAAGCTAATGTTTTCATAGCAGTCCGCAGCTGCTGACGTAGGCTGATGACGCGTCCTGTGGCAACTCTACACTCTTATGTAGCCATGACAGGCTGATGGCTAACCTGGCAAAAGCCAGATTGATGATTGTGTAGAACTCTAACGCGTTCTCCGCGATATCAATCTGGGATTTCTCCCGGAGAATCCTTTCGGGGAAAGGAGGGGTAAGCAGCAGAATACTTGAAGCTGATTGGGCGAAGTGACGCTGTGTGCCCGCCTACCAAGGTTGCCGTCCAGAAATGTACAAAGCGCCTCTTGCTGTTCATCTTTCAAAAAAGAAATTGGAGATTCTGCTAAAACTGACTTTGCGTCCGTCCTCCTGCGTAGCCATGTTTGTTTTGCTTCGGCCCGGCACTTCTTGCTTTCGTCAAACCCGGATATCCCGCCCTAAACCCCCAGACTGGCGCGTGATTGGCTCGCACACCCAGTGGTTCGACTCGAAAAGTGTAAGCGGGAGCGGTACAAGATGTATTCTCGAGTGTTTGTGAACTCACAAATACCGCGAGAATTCAGCTTGCAGGCAAGGTTAGCTGATGGCTCCCACTGTTTTTGCTGGAAAAGCACTCTTTGTTTAGCTTAAAGCCTTCAAGTTTACATTGGTTACTGTTTTCTTTTAGTTGCTCTACACAAGTATTTGGCTGAACTTTTTCATATTTTTATTGAATGCTAAGCATCAAATGTTTGTTTCAAGAATGATAAGATGCACTTTTTTCAGTAAGCTGTGTTTTCAAGGCTTTAAGGTTTTATGCTACCTCTAAGAATGTCTTATTTTTTAATTTTAAGAGCAAGCAATACATATTTTTTGTGAAGGAATTGTGTTTTTTTCATTAAAATATTTAAATCAACATGTATACATCAATATTAGTCAATTAATGGGGAGATAATCGAGAATCGAATCGAATCGAAGCGAAAAAAATAATCGTTAGATTAATCGATGCATCGAAAAAATAATCGCTAGATTAATCGTTTAAAAAATAATCGTTTATCCCAGCCCTACAGCCATGCAATTAACAATGCCAAACGTTTGTCAGTGCTGCTCTTCTGTATATATTTTTTATATTTTCATTATCAGTGATTCTAGAGCCAATTCCACATTATTGTAATTATATTCTTTACATTTGAAATTGTTTTAAACATTTTTAGAAAACGTAGCCCAAGTTACAATTGCAAGATGGGCTACTTTTCAGTAGCCCATCTTTAAGTAGGGCTACTACTACTGCTACTACTACTGCTACTACTGCTACTACTACTGCTGCTGCTACTACTGCTGCTGCTACTGCTGCTACTGCTACTACTACTACTACTTTTTATGTTTTATGCAATAAAATGAGTCTTTGTTGCCTTTTCCTCTAGTTCTCAGTACCAGCACCAAGACCAGCACCAGCACTGAGAACATCACAGCGGTAAGTGCTCTCCAACTACTACTACTATTACTACTACTACTACTACTACTACTTTTTTATGTTTTATGCAATAAAATGAGTCTTTTTTGCCTTTTCCTCTAGTTCTCAGTAGCAGCACCAAGGCCAGCACCAGCACTGAGAAAATCACAGTGGTAAGTGCTCTCCAACTACTACTACTACTACTACTACTACTACTACTACTACTACTACTACTGCTACTGCTCCTGCTTCTACTACTGCTAATACTATGTTTCTCTGTCCTTTCATTTAGATGACTAAGCCCAAAGTGTCGGGCCAGTGCCCCATCTGCCTCAAAGTGTTACAGCATACAAGCAAACACATCCGCGAGGTGCATCGCATTCAAAACCCAAAAGAGAGGAGTATACTGAACGCCATATCCACTGGCAGGATTGACATTCAAAAGGGAACATGCCCGGTCCCAGGGTGTGGTCTCTTTAGGAGACGACTCTCCAAACATATAGAGGGCCACAGTGATCTGCTCCCCGGCAGAAGGGAGGCCTACAAGCAGGTAGCCCGCAGGGATGCCGCGTTGAAGCTGCTGTCAGAGCTGCGGGCTACCAACCCTCAACCTCCCATGGCCTCGGTGTTGGACACTGAAGACAGCCTTGCCTCTGAATGCCGGCACCCCTCCTGCATTCAGAGGGAGTTTAGGATCCGGGAGTTGGAGGTAAAGTATATGATATTTATTCTTTGGAGATTTTGAACATTTGAACATGGCTCAGACGCTGGAGCTGGTCATGCAATCTCTCAGTTAAAGCCATCTTTTCTCACTACAGGTGCAGCTGTTATTTGCAAGGCCGGGCCCCGGGGAGGTCCACCCCCGCACCAGGCCTCAGGAAGCTTTTCACGGGAAGGGCACCTCCAGTAAAGCAGCAAAGGACCACAGGGAGGGCACCTCCACTAAAAAACGAAAGCGCCACAGGGAGGGCACCTCCACTAAAAAAGCTAAGGACCACAGGGAGGGCACCTCCACTAAAAAAGCTAAGGACCACAGGGAGGGCACCTCCACTAAAAAACGAAAGCGCCACAGTGTGGATGAGGACAGGCTGCGGAACAGGAGGAGGAGGAGGATACACGTTCTGGAGGTAAATATGCTCATATTTGGCTCTTCCAGTAATTGCTGGATTAGTACATTTGGGTTACTTACTGACCAATTTATTACTTTCTTGTGTTAATATTGCATAATCTAGGACAGCAGCTCAGACAGCCCCCGCCAGACCCGACTCTGCCCATCTGCAGTCTTTGTGAGTTCTGCTTTGTACCAGAATAAACAACTATTACCACTTCTACTCACATGCCCTGTATTTACCTGTCCCCACCCTAGAGCAGTGACGAGGAGCTAGTGATCGACCTTGACCCCGAGGAGCTAGCGGTCCCCCTCGACCCAGAGGAGCCAGTGTGTCAGGCAGGGAGATTGGATGTCCTCCATAGACCTGACAGACGCTTACTTTCACGTGCCGATAGTTCCGGTAACACAGGGAGTTTCCTGCGCTTCGCAGTGGGAGAGAGGAGTTACGAGTACTGCCGTCTCCCATTCGGCTACGCGCTCGCGCCTCGGACCTTCTCAAAGTGCGTGGAGGCGGCAGTGGAGCCGCTCAGACGCGCCGGGGTAAGAATATTAACCTATATAGACGATTGGTTAATACTGGCCTCATCCAGGGAAGTGGCCGTGAGTCACACGCACTGGGTCCTGTCCCACATACAGCGCCTGGGCTTTGTGGTGAACAGGGAGAAAATCAGGCTGCAACCGGCTCAGCGCATGATCTATCTCGGCCTGCAGCTAGACTCTGTGACGTTCCGTGCTGCATTGTCCGAGGACAGACGGAGGAAGATTACCCGTCTAGCCAGGGAGGTTCTGGCAGGCCCCAGGGTCCCCGCTCGGCGCCTCAGGTCCCTGCTGGGGATGATGGCGGCGGCTCATGCTGTGGTGCGGCTAGGCCTTCTCCACATGAGGAATTTTCAGAGGTGGTTCTCACGCCTCAGGCTTCACCCCTCCCGGGACTGATCTGGGTTCCCCAAGTGGCAGCATCGGACATCAGGTTTTGGCTCACTCCGGGTCTATTGCGGGACGGAGTGACTCTGGCCTGCGCCGTGTCTCACGTGGAGGTGTTCACGGACGCGTCACTCGAGGGTTGGGGCGGGGTCCTCGGCCAGAGCTCTGTAGGAGGCTGCTGATCGGACTCAGCCCGCCACATCAACCTTCTGGAGATGGAGGCAGTACACAGGGTACTGCTGCACTTTGCTCCTCAACTGCAGGGGAGACACGTGATGGTGCGCTCGGACAACACCACAGTGGTCTCCTATCTGAACAGGCAGGGGGGCACCAGGTCCCCCGTCCTCCATCGCATGGCGACGGTGACGCTGCTGTGGGCGGCGCTTCACCTCCTGTCCCTGAGGGCGCGCCACGTCCCGGGTGCCCGGAACGTATTCTGTCCTTTGGAGAGGGCGAGTTGTGGCCCAATCCGGCTTTTCTCCCTAAGGTCATCACGTCGGCCTTCAGGTCGAGAGTGATCAGGATTAGGGCATTCCATCCGCCGCCGCATGCCTCCCCCGAGGAGGAGCGGCGGCACCTTCTGTGTCCTGTCAGAATGCTTAGGCATTACCTGGCCATGACGTCTTCATTCAGGTTGGTTGATCAGCTGTTTGTGTGTCTGGGCCCCAAGAACAGGGGCGCCCCGCTGTCGGCTCAGCGGCTGGCGCACTGGGTCGCCACGGCTGTGCGGCGGGCGTATCAGGCTCAGGGTCTGGCCCCCCCGGTGGGCTTCAGGTCGCATTCCACGCGTGGGGTGGCGGCCTCTACGGCCCTCCTCAGGGGGGCGTCGGTCGAGGATGTGTGCCATGCGGCTTCTTGGGCGTCGTCCTCTTCTTTCGTCCGGTCTTACCTTTTGGATGTGTCGGACCGGTCGGTGGCCCATTCCGTGCTTAGTGCAGCGGACTGAGTTGTAACCTTTATGTCCCCTCTTAGGGGTTGACTTTGACTTTCCGCCCTGTTTCAGGAGCTCTTGGGAGTGGCGTCCTGCAGGTGCGATATTTTTGTGTGCTTTGGTCAGTCAAGTAGTCCACGTCAGGAGCTCTTGGGAGAGGCGTCCTGGGACTACGAGTGACCTTCGGTCTGTGTTACGTGGGGGTATCCTTGGGAGGAGTGGCCCTGTAACACGCAATTGCTTTTGCTTTTTCTGCCCTGAGTCCTCTCACTGTGTGAGGGTCTTGCTCGGGTGGAGCTCCAATCACTCTTCGCTGGCCTGCTGGGAGTACATGTTCCTACGGCCTCCGCGTTGTGTCCCACTAGCGAAGTCCGCTAAGGCAGTGGTTCCCAAAGTGGGGGTCCCGACCCCCGGGGGGTCGCGGGAACCCCTGGGGGGGTTGCAAGATGATTTCTACACAAACAAAAAAGATATTTTTTTTTTGAGCAAATATAAAGTCCTTAAATATTTATTTAGCATTTGATTTGATTCAAAAGGACTACTTGTTGAATTGTGTTTGGAGACTATAATAGACCTTTTTCACACTTCCGTGTTTTAAACCGGATGTGGAGTAAAGCCACTTCCGGTGCCTATGCTTTACCGTTCAGAGACAGCGTCAGTATGGCTCAATCTCTCCGCGCTAGTTTTTGCTCTGTTCCTGGTTGCTCTTGTGGAGCAAGAAAACAACCCTATTTATCTTTTCATGCTTTTCCGACGGACCCGGACCGTAGAAGGCAGTGGATCCAAGCAGTTAGGAGAGACGAGGGTCCCCTGTTCACCATAAAGACAGGGAGCACTTTTGTATGCAGCCGGCACTTCACACCGGAGGATTATCTCACTGGATCGACCGTCAGCCGCCTTAAAAGTGGAGCTGTTCCATCTCTATTCCCCTGGAATAATTTTATTGCACCACCTAAGAGGGAGTCAGCATTCCAGAAGGCTCAGAAACGTCAGCTTGTCCTTTCAGAGCAAGTTAGCCAGGCTGAAGCTGCCACTGCCGAACATGATTATGCGGCACATCCACCCCCAGGTAAATATCTAATTATATCAGTTATGTTAACATTTTATTCTAGCATATTTGAGTCAATATTATAACTATGAAACAATAAATGCTCAGTGTCATAACATGTTTGTGGAACAAAATTAAAGCAGTGTAAATAAAATACAATATTTAGGACTGTAATTGTATATATAATTATATATATATTACATTATGGTTTGACCTTTTTAAGGTATTTATAGCACTTTTTTCTGGTTTTACAGGTGCGCTTGATAAAGCCCTTGAGACGATCAAGGAGTTGGAAGCCAGGCTGGAGAAGATGGATTTGTCTCCCAGCACACTTTTTAATAGTTATTGCTTTTCTGATGACCAGATCCGGTTTTACACAAAATTCCCATCTAAGAGTGTGTTCAGGATCTTCTGGGAGTCCATTGCACCATCTGCATCCCGTCTAGTGTACTGGACCAGAGCTCAGAAAATTGGAGATAAAGAAGTTGCTGAACCAAGCCCTGCACGCCGCATGCCTCTAATTGATGAGTTTTTAATGTACTCATTCAGGGTTGCAGTGGGAATGAAGGAGCAGCTCATTGCTGACATGTTTAAAGTGAGCATTTCTACTGTCAGCCGAGTGACCATCACATGGGCCAACTACCTTTTCATTGTGTTCTCGTCAATTAACATGTGGATTAGTCGGGAGAAGGTGAAAGCCAGCATGCCTCAAAGATTTGTGAAGCGCTCTCCAAATGTGCGTGTCATCCTGGACTGCACAGAAGTTGCTTTAGAGGGGGCATCATCACTAACTTTACAGTCTGAAACCTTCTCTGCGTACAAGAACCGCACCACTCTGAAAGGGCTGATCGGAGTTGCTCCCAATGGGTTGGTGACGTTTATATCACAGCTGTACACTGGCTGCATCTCCGACAAAGAGATCACTAAAATCAGTGGAATTCTTCCGCTGCTGGAGCAAGGAGATGAAGTCATGGCAGATAAGGGCTTCCTCATTCAAGACCTCCTTGATGAAGTTGGGGCCAAACTCACAATGCCACCTTTTCGACATCCTGGTCAGTTTAGCAAGAGAGAGACTGAGGAGACCCAAGCCATTGCTCGTCTGAGAATTATTGTCGAACAGGCAATAGCCAGAATCAAGCACTACCACATCTGGGATTCTCCTGTGCCACTCACTTTAATAGGAACCGTCAATCAGATCTGGCACAACTGTTGTGTTTTGGCTAATTATCAAGGCCCATTTTGTTTGGAAGAATAAATGTTTCATCTAAATCTTCTATGTGTCTGTTTCAGTGTACATATTTTTTGAGATGTTTATTCCCCATTTTTAAAACACACTTGGGCAGAATTCAGTATTTTTTGTTTTGTTATTGTGGCTTGATTGTGTTGAATTGCAAGGGAAAACAGGTTAAACAAATAGCAAGTGATAGTGGATTATGTTGAAAATGAAATATGTAATTCTCAAATCATTTCATTTGTAACAAAACAAGGCTGGAAATATTTTTTTATAAATCATACAGGAAATAAAATAAGCACATTAGTCTAGTTTTGGAAAACTTATACCTCATCAACTTCCTTTCAGCTGCAGGCACAGGTCATTAAGACTAGGCCAATTTCATGTTTTGTTTTGCTATGCATATATTCAATTTTTGTGACAGATATTTACAATGATCAAAAAAAAGGGAATGAACAAAAAAGGGGATTTGTGAATCATTAGTTACTGTATTGCATTGACATAAACACATTCATAAAGGTGGTAAAGTAAAACATGTCCAATTTTGACTTCATCTGGTCAATGAAAGATTCATCCCGCCACACTCGCTCTACTGTTATAGTTGTCAGTGTGTCTGTGACAAAGTCGCACCATTCCAGCCCTGTGATTGCCAGCTGACCCTGTACTTGCCAGTAGTACGCATGTGAGTGCCTCACATTTGCAGAGCCATCCTGAACCTTAAGGTGAGCCACCTGGGACACATCATTTTTGGTACTACATTTAACCTCTACCAGTCCAAACGGGGGTGATTCTGATGGGTCATACACCCTGCCATCAGGACTTGCCCCAAGATGTGGTGCCTCTGGGTGAATGATAAATCCCACAGGGAGTACATTAACACTCATCAGCTCAGCATAGTTCGCCAGCACCTCGAGCTCCATCTGCAGACCGCGCTTCATTGCAGCTGTTTGTTTTGTGAACCCCCTGATCATCCTAGCTGCATGTACTGTGGCTACAGACTCCTCCTCAGCACTTCCTTTACAAGCATCCCGGAAACGGCTAGCTGTAAGCCTTGGCTGGCGAAGCTGTACCCATGCAGGACATCTGGACTGCTCCCTGGTTGCAGCCTCTATTTTTGAAGACGTATCCAGTGACAGTTGCAGAGACTGAAGATGCCTAAGTTGACCAAGAGTAGGCACAAAACACATGTTTGTAAGACTGTGAAACATCAAAGGAAGAGCAGGGAAGTCTGGAGCTGTGTGGTGTATAATGATGACGTCGCAGGACTTCTCAGGTGGGCACTGGTAAGACATTGGTGAGCCTCAAGGCACAGGCCCAAATTTGGACGGAACCAGCTCCAAAGTTGAGAGACCTTCTAAAACAAGAGCTATGAGTGGCGGGGACTCCAGCTGGCGTAATTTCTCTCCCGATGCGATGATGTCGGGGTCAGGAAGTGGTCCTACAAACACATGAGTGACAAATCTCAATAACTTATGACAAAGGAAACATTCCAGATTTATTTATTTATATATATATATATATATATTTATTAAATAATATATATATATATATAATTTACAGACAGATTATGAAAACATTGGCACTCAATAAATTATACCTGGGAAAGCTCTGTAGAGTGTAGACTGCAGACATCGTTTCCCCACAGTTTTGGGCTTTCGCACTATGACTTTGCTGGCAGGTTCAGGGTGGATCCCCTTACAAGAAATAAAAACAGAAAAATAGATTTTGTTAACATGACATTTATATATATATATATATATATATATATATATATATTAGAGATAGATAGATAGCTTAATTATATTATTCTTAAAGTAGTTAAGAAAATTGCATACCAAATGATTATGCAATAGAAAAGAGTTGAGCAAATTACTTTTTTATTTATTTACCTGTGTTCTTGGTCTGTGCCATCTTTGTACATGCCAGGGCAGGAGGAACAGCTGGTAGCTGGAGCTGGGAGTAGTGTGCAGTCTGATAAAGAAGTGCAACTACATGGTTGCAAAAACCTTTACCTGCTGCACAACTACAAGAATGAGCCAACAGCGCAGCCTTTTCAGCACCCAGTGAGATCTAAAGCAGAGAAGTAGTTTTAGAACGGACATAGTTTTTACTTGTTATAACTTATCTTATAAAGACAAGAGATTGTAGTTTAGATTTGCTGCAACAGCAGCAGTACATAGAAAAGCCTATGCTGCAACAGCAGCAGAAGAGAAATAGTAACCACCAAACAGAAAGATGCGAGTATAGGCTCTCAGTTTTACTGGAACTGTCCATCCTATGTGAACGTTCTTCAGCTGTCATCTATCAGCGACTCAAGAACTCAAAGCTGAACAAGCCAACCGGCTTTCTGACTTTCAAACCTGCAGTCTGTGCGGCTCCTCATTTCTCCTCATGGACCTGAAGCATTTAGCTCTGACCACTACCTTTCCCTCGAGAATATTTGATACTATACGTATGCAGAAACAAAGCACAATTTAATGGTTAAGGTACATCTAGCATCATCATGTAAAAACTAACATTTAGCATGTTTGCTTTCATAAATAAGACATGAAAAACACATATCATAATGTTCTAATATAATTGGAAATTCTATACCATGTCTCCATTCAAATTTCGAAATAATTTAGCACACATTAGCACATATTTATGTGCTTCAAGTGTCGTAGCTAGCGTAGCTGTAAGTTGATAAGTCTTACCTTGATAGTCGTGTAAATATTCTTCATGAAAGAATTTATACACCTTATCCCGTTTATCTGTTTTTGAATTCGCTGCTCTGCTGCAATTGCTTCCGCAGCAGCGAATGAAAAAGCTGGCAAACAGAGTAGTGTTGGTGAAAATATTAGAGCCATTTCTCTATCATAGACTGTGCACTCAGCGCTGCGAGGCGGCACTTCCGGTTATCGTGAAAAAGGTCTATATATTTTAATAACGTTAGTAATTTTGTCCCAGTCATTGCAGTGTCAATCAAAATCATCCCGTAACACAGCTCACATCATGCGCAGCGACAAAGCGTGTCCTGCTGTTGTTTGCTAAAACTAAAGGTGTTTGGAGGCTACAAATAAATAATACCTGCTTTAAAATGAAACGTGGTTAATATCCACAACAGAAAAACCCGGAGGGGGAGAAAAGTCACTTGTATCAGGGGTCAGGCTGATGGTGCGAAGAGAGGGAGAGAGGGCAAAGGAGGGAGAGAGGACAGCGGAGGGAGGGAGGACAGCGGTAGAACAGCGCGTTAAAGAGGCCCGGCTTTTCGGAGTCAAAGGTAAAGAGGTCCGCACATTAAAAGCGGGTGGCCGGTTTATGCCTTTACTGACAGTAACTTTGGAAAGAGAAGCCGCGGGGATGAACCGCATAAAGTAACAGCAGAAAGCGGCCGCCCGCTTTTAATGTGCGGACCTCTTTACCGCTGACTCCGGAAAGCCGGCCCACTTTACCGCGGTAGGAGAACAGTGAGGGCGAGCCGCAAGAAATGCGCTCCACTTCTGCTGAGGAGGGAGCCCACCAAGCCCATCACTGTGTCACTACATGAGTAAAAATATGCAAGCCTCCTTTTTTGGGCTGGACAGTGCAGCTCGGTAGTGGCGTGAGTCTCTAGAAAGCGTTACTCCGTATCAAGGAAATACATGCTCATTTCATGTGACGGAAGGGCTGTGTCGCGGGTTAGCAGGGCATTTATGATGGGGGTCGCGGGCTAAAAACTTTGGGAACCCCTGCGCTAAGGGACGTAGCACCATGACGTAGAATTAATAGTTACCTAATGTAACTTAAGTTCTACGAATAGGTGCGTAGTGCCTTAGCTACGAGCCCATCAGGCCAGCCCGGCTTGGCAGAGTTCAAGAGGGGGCGCGGCTATGGAGCAGGGGCCTTTATAGAGGAGGGTCGCTAGTGATTGGAGCATTTTTTGTTGATCTCTCTGGCGTCTGTGACCTGGGGGTCACGTGATATCCCACTAGCGAAGTCCGCTAAGGGACTACGCACCTATTCGTAGAACTTAAGTTACATTAGGTAACTATTAATTACACTCTGTTTGAATGAATCTGTTCATCTGTGACACTTCACTGAGACTGTTACCATGGTAACTGTTACTATGGAACTGGACTTAATCTAAAACTGAAAAAAACTGGAAACCATTGTTTTTCCCACAATAAAAGACGCTAACACGGAGCCCTGATCTGTAAGTACAGCGATGCTAAACTAAATTATTATGGTCTGATTCAGGATCGAGGACATAGGACATAGTCATTTCAGATTTGTGAATAAACTATGTGCTGGAGAGTGAGGCTTTGAATCTAAATATAAATATAATATAATAATAATATAGTATACTGTGTTTGGTCCAAAATTAGTCATTATGTAATGTGGGAGGAAGGCCTTCATTGTATTTTATGTATTGATTTATTGTAACAAATTTACTGTATAATATAGTTATTGTGTGTATCCAATTTCCAGCACGTTCGTCACCCAGAAGCTCTGGGGAAGATGGCTGGCAGGAGGATGAGTGGGAGCCGAGTCAGTTGCCCTTCACAGGAGCTCCTGGACCTCAGAGACTGCGGACAGAGGCTGCGAAGCTGGATTCATCTGATCCAGCTGGATTCATCTGATCCAGACTTTCTGGAGCTCTTCTTCACGGAGGGAGAACTACAAATGGTACACAGCGTGTCGTGTTCCGTTGCACACAGTGTTTCAACCTCTACAACTCAAAGCTGAACTACTGGGAGGACTGAAAAAACAGATAAACTCACTCATACACACACTCACGAACACTCACTCACACACACACACGCACACAGACACTCACTCGCACACTGACATTCACACACACAGACACTCACTCGCACACTGACATTCACACACACAGACACTCACTCACACAGACACTCACTCGCACACTGACATTCACACACACACACTCAAATTCACATGCTTCATTCTATTTTATACATCTATAGTTGTATTGATCTTTGTGTTGTTGTTGTTTGACGTTTTGGTTGATGGTATAGAAGAAAGTTAAATTTTCTATCTGTGAATAAATTGCCAACAATTTGCCATCAAAAGTATTATTTCAGAGTCATGTTTTTATAATTTTTGTAATGGAACAAGTGTGAAGATGTTTTGAGTTGTCACTAAAGCAGCAAAAATGCATCTAAAGTCTCTTTTCTGCTTGATATGTTCCTGTTTACATTCAGCTCGTTTTCTCTGTTTTCTTGCTCAGACCAGGTGTTATGGGTGAAAGTATGCTTTGTTCTATGGCAAATAACTCAAGAACGGTAAGAGGTAGAAACAAAGGTTTTTTTCAGAGTAAAGCAGAGAGGTTAATCTTTAATTTGGTGCCCTTGGTGTTTACATCGTCTAAAAAATGAATATTCTGTGGCACTTCAAAGTTGGGTCAAATCACCTGAAATTGCTGGCAGAACACACTTCTCAAATCTGAAAATGCCTGGCAGTCAGTGAGTTAAAGTTAGGGTAAATAGTATTTACGTAGTTGTGTTTGACTTCTCTGTTGCCTGTTAATTGTTTGAGACACAAACTATTATATATTACATATTATATTTCTATTTCTGTTGATTTGTTTCATGTTCAGGTCAACAACATGAAACAATTTTTAAAAGTTGCCAATTTTTAAGTCATATAATCACATTACATTGTTCCACATTTTGCATGTGGACGCTTTGCTTGTTGCTTCTTTACTTTCGTTTGCCACTCGATTTGTGTAATGTATGACGAATGTGCAGCTCCTCCGTAGTTTCCACTTTCCACTTGCCTCTTGTCTGCATCGTCTTGTCCTTGTTTGAGTTGTGGATTAAGGGCAGTGTCTGTGTCTTGTCTGTTGTGCCATACTCTTTCTGTTCCCTGAGGATGGAAAAAATAGTGCTCTGAGCTGATCATAGCTTTTTATCAGTGACTAGTGTGTTTGTTTTAAAATAACGAAATGATTAATGGCATAAACATCTGTAATTATTTAAAACGTGCATTGTACAGTAATATGTTCTTTTTTATTGTAAAAAAATAAATCATGTCTAATTTTTCTTTTTCTTATCAGTCTTCCATGTTGTGCTGGTCTTTCACAGACAAAAAATAGAGCATTCCAGACTTTGTAAATAACGACAGAAACTCAAGCACGACTGTAATGATGCGGATGAATTAAGAGCTGCACTCTTTTTGCAAATGCAAATTACCTGAAAACACCCATGTTTGTTTTCTGGTCTGACTGGTTATGCACCTGCTCCTCTCCTTTTGGCCTCAGGATCCATTACCAAACAAAAGTCACAAGCGTTAGCGGTGAATTCGGTTTTAGAGAGCTGTCAGTGAGGGAGAATTTGATAAACAATTTCTATCAAATTCTATTATGTGTTAAATTTATTTCAAGTTCAGGACTTTAGGGTGAGTGGAGCAGGACAAGAGAAGGCGGCATGAGGCTGAAGTGTGTGTTCGTTTTGACAATTGCTGTGGTTTTATTGGTGATTGTGTGCACACTGCAACGTGTCTTCAAAATACATTATGGGTAAGTGCATATTTTTGCATTGGTTAGAAATGATGTGTGTGTGAAATCAAGAAAGCTAAATGGTAGTAGAATTGTCTGTTTCTCTTTTCCAAACAGTCAAAAACCACCATTGCCTCTTCCAAATGAAGACAGAAGTCCATCCCAACCTGCTGACATCTGTGAGAACTGCCGGTGAGTGCAACAGCTAAAGTCACATTGTGTAACTTTTTGAGAGGAAGCTTGTGCCCACGCAAAGGTTAAAATTCCCCCGGCATGATGTTAAACAAAACCACCAATTACATAATTACTGAACTAACCGGTATCACACCAGTCCTCAAAAAGCCTGTGTGGCTCCAGGTTTTCAATTCAACCAAGGAGCACACCAGACTTTTCAGGTTAAGACTGGACTCACTGCCATAATGAGTGCCACACTGCCGTTGTGCCCTTAGACAATAATAATAATAATAATACATTTTATTTAAAAGCGCCTTTCAAAACACCCAAGGACACTGTACAGGCATAATAAAAACATTTAAAAACAGGATAAACAGAATAAAACAGTAGTCAGGTGCAATATGGGATGGTGTGTGTGTGTGTGTGAGTTAGGAGGGTGTGTGTGTGCGTGTGTGTTAGGTGTGTGTGTGTGTGTGTGTGTGTGTGTGCGCGCGTGTGTGTGTTAGGTGGGGTAGGACAGTCTGAACAGATGGGTTTTGAGTCGGGATTTGAAGAGTGGAAGAGAGTCAATGGTACGGAGGTCAGGGGGGAGAGAGTTCCAGAGCTGGGGGGCAGAGTGGCTGAAGGCTCTGTGTCCCACAGTGATGAGTCTGGCTGGGGGGACGGAGAGTGTGAGGGTGGAGGAGGAGCGGAGTGTGCGGGCAGGAATGTGAGGGTGGAGGAGGTCAGATAAGTACGGAGGGGCCAGGTTGTGAAGTGCTTTGAAGGTGGTGAGGAGTATTTTGAAATTGATGCGCTGTTTGACAGGAAGCCAGTGGAGTTGTTGTAGTACGGGGGTGATGTGGTGAGCTGTGGGGGTCCGGGTGATGATACGAGCTGCAGAGTTTTGGAGGAGCTGCAGTTTCTGGAGGGATTTGTTGGGGAGGCCGAAGAGAAGTGAGTTGCAGTAGTCAATCCTTGAGGTGACGAGGCTGTGGACGAGGATGGCGGTGGTGTGGGGGGTGAGAGAGGGGCGGAGACGAGAGATATTGCGCAGGTGGAAGTAGGCAGACCGAGTGATGTTATTGATGTGGGATTGGAAGGAGAGTGAACTGTCGAGGATGACACCCAGGCTCTTGACTTGAGGGGAGGGGAGGACAGATGTGTTATGGATGGAGATTGAGAAGCTGGTAGATTTGGAGAGAGTGGAGGGGGTGCCTATGAGAAGGACTTCAGTTTTTGAGCTATTGAGTTTGAGAAAGTTGGAAGAGAACCAGGAATGAATTTCTTGTAGACAGAGGGTGAGGGAGGATGGAGGGAGAGAGGAAGATGGTTTAGTGGAGAGGTAGAGCTGGGTGTCATCCGCGTAGCAGTGGAAGTGAATGTTGTGACGGCGGAGGATGTGACCGAGTGGGAGAATATAGATGATGAAGAGGAGGGGCCCCAGGACAGAGCCCTGGGGCACACCAGCAGAGACAGGAAAAGTGCGGGATTTGTGGGATTTGAGATGAATGAACTGTGAGCGACCAGAAAGATAGGAGGTGAACCAGGCGAGGGGGGTGTGGGTGATGCCGATGGAGGAGAGTCTGTTCAGGAGGGTGGAGTGAGAAATGGTGTCAAAAGCTGCAGTGAGGTCCAGAAGGATGAGGATGGAGAGTAAACCGGAGTCAGAGGCTATGAGGAGATCGTTAGTGATTTTTAGAAGAGCTGTTTCGGTGCTGTGGAGGGGACGGAAACCAGACTGAAATTGTTCGTAGATGTTGTTGGTGGTGAGGTGGTTGTGGAGTTGAGCAGCGACAGATTTTTCAAGTATTTTGGAGATGAAGGGAAGGTTTGAGATGGGACGGAGGTTGTTGAAGTTGGTTGGATCCAGGCCAGGTTTTTTGAGAATGGGTGAGACTGAGGCGGTTTTGAATAAGAGAGGGACAGTACCAGAAGTGAGAGATGAATGAATGATATTAGTGATGAGGGGGGCAGCTGAGGGGAGGCAGGATTTGACCAGAACGGTAGGGAGAGGGTCGAGCTGAGAGGTAGAAGGTTTGGATTTAATGATAAAGTCGGAGATGGCTTGGACGGAGGGCAAGATGAAGCTGGAGAATGTGGCTATGAGGGATGAGTAGGGGGCTGGGGGGTCCACTCCAGAGGCTGCAGCTCCATGCGGGGTCAGGTGTTGGTGAATGTCAGAGATCTTGGAGGTAAAGAAGGACATGAGTGAGTTACAGAAGTCAGTGGATTGCATATGGTGAGGGAGGGAGTCAGGGGGTTTGGTTATATTGGTGAGAAGAGAGAAGAGAGTTTTGGAGTTTTGATGATTGGAGTGGATTAAACCGGAGTAGTAGGTGGATTTGGCAGCAGAGAGATGGTCCTTGTATAGCATGATGTGGTTATTGTACATTTGTTTGTGAATGGTGAGTCCAGTTTTATTGAAGAGCCGTTCAAGTTGACGTCCTTGGGATTTGAGCTGACGGAGGGCAGGGGTGAACCAGGGTGCTGAGAGCGTGAAAGAGACGGGTCGGGTTTTGAGAGGAGCATGATTGTTCAGGAGGTTATGGAGAGAAGTGTTGTAGTGGGAGACCAGGTCATCGGGGGAGTCATTGGGATCAGTAGTGGGGAGGTTATTGATATCTGAGGCGAAGGTGGCAGTGTTTATGTCCTGAATTTTACGGAAAGAAATGGTTCGGGGAAGGATGGTCTTGGAGAGGGTGAGGTTGATATTGAAGGTGATGAGCTTATGGTCTGTGTATGGGAGTGTGTGAGGTTTACAGTCAGTGGGAGTGAGACCAGAGCAGCAGATTAAATCCAAAATGTGACCTTTAGTGTGGGTGGGGAAATGAATGTGTTGTTGTAAACCAAAACTATCTAAACAGGAGGAGAAGTCTTTGGTGAGAGGGTTGCTATTATTGTCCATGTGAATGTTGAAGTCCCCAAGTATGACTGCGTTATGAGAGATAGATGAGAAGTGTGTTAGAAGGTGAGAAAAGTCATTTAAAAAGTCCTTATTAAGTTTTGGCGGGCGGTAGATGGTGGCAACAACAGTAGGAGAAGGTCCAGGCAGCAGTGAGGCAGAGTACTCGAAGGAGGAGAAGACAGGGGCAGCAGGCACAGGTGTGACTTTCCAAGTCTCGCGGTGAAGCATCGCGAGACCTCCGCCCCGGCGGCCACAGCTGCGGGGCTGGCAGATGTAAACAAACCCCGGTGGAGTGGAGTCGTTCAACGCGGCAAAGTCATTTGGCTGCTGCCAGGTTTCGGTCAAACACAAGAAGTCCAGCTTACGGTCGACGAGGACATCCCGGACCAGATGGCCCTTGGTGTTGAGGGAGCGCACGTTGAGGAGACCGAAGCTGACGGTGGTGGAGCTGTTCTTGGCTGCCGCGGGCTGAGCCGATCGGGCCACGCTGACCAGGACACTGTCAGCGTCCCGACCAGCGGTGCGGGAGCAGCGGCGAGTGGTGGACCAGAGGGACTTTATTGAATGGGAGTCCTTGTATTGGAGCTTACGGCGTGATCCACGGTGAACGTACCGCCGCCGGGGCTGGAAGGCGATGCCCGGGGGGATGTCATGTCCGCGCTCCGGTGGCTGAAGAGGAGCGGGGACGTGGTGCCGAAGTTTTAAAAGTTCAGCAGCGGAGTACTGGAGGAGAGCATTGGCCTGCAGATGGACCAGGGACACGATGAGCCAGATGACAACAAGCCAGCGCGTTATATGGCAGACACACATCGTTTCCCAGGAGGGGAATACGACAGCCAGGGGTCCCAGGTATGAATATGTCCAAAATGCTTATGACAACAGCAAACTGTGGTTGATATCGAAAGCAGGTAAACAATCCTTAAAACACAACGTAACCACGACATCCAATATTGCGTAAACAATGTTTTAGCCCGTGTTTGTTCTGTGAGCAGCGGCTGCCAAAGCGCGCCAGCGTTCACTCCAGCGTTCACAAGACACTTCACCCTTCATTTGTGCAAAACTCCGCTGCCAGACTTTTAACAGGAACTCACACGGTGGTCTCACATCACCCCGGTCCTGTCCTCACTTCTTGATTTCAACATTTTAGTATTAACTTTCAGAGCCTTAAATGGTCAGGCTCCTTGTTACATCTCGGACCTCTTGACCCCATACTGTTCTGGCCGCACTCTCAGGTCCACAGGCCAGAATTTACTTGCGGTCCCAAAGACCCGCTATTGACCAGATGCATCAACGTCATCCAGTCACGTGATTGTGAATGAGCTTACGGCGGAAGTATTGGAAACTAGCATTGCGGCGAGAGAAAAACGGACACAACTCTTAAAAACGGAGCTTCCTCTCTTAAATCGAGAAGTGGCTGCTTCAAGCAATGTTCGATTGCGTTATAGGTGGAAGTAGGACATCAGGTCAGGGCTCACAAAGAGTGGTATTTGGAGAAGTTAAGGATTGCCTAACTGGATGTTGACCCGTACCTTCTCCCCCCAGTCAATTTTATCATTTAAATAAAATGTCTATTTTTGCCCAAATTCACCCTACATGATCTTTACCATTATCGTTAACAACATGTACATTTTGCTGGTAGCATTAGCAATAGTCCACTTTTCTGTGGCTTTTCTGTCTACAGCCAAACATGATACGTACTGACGGAGAGGAAAATAGTGAAACACGCAATTGACTTAGATAAAAATGTCAATGTTGCAGCGCACATACAGGACAGTAGTAAGAGACACGTTTGACATGTGTCATTGTCCTCCACATTAATGGAAAGAAAGAAATACTAACTTGTGATTGCTTTATCTTGTAAAAAGTGTTCACTGCATATTAGGGAGTACTTGGATGGCTCCCAGTCCTTTTGGTTGATTGCCGCTGGCCATCGTCGTCTTCTGTCTTCATGACGAGCAGGTATCAGATAAAAAAGCGTATGTCCTTGCCTGTTAGTATAATCAACCGCACTGCAAAATGTCACAGTTTTGGCTGTAATGCGCTGAAACAGGTTGTTTTGGTCAGGTGTCCGTAGGCTCGCAGTTAGACTTCTGCCGTCTGTCATGAGTGGGCGTGGCCGGGACGTCACATGCAAGGGGTCAATAAGACCCGGGGGGACCGGTCCTTCCAGTCCGTTGCCCCCAGATTGTGGAACGTTTTGCCTCTGTCCCTTCGTGTGGTCAACTCTGCCGATGCTTTTAAAAAGGGAATAAAGACCCTTCTTTTTAGGACAGCTTTTGGTTAATTTCTTGTTTTTATGTTTTTTCTATTTTTGTCTTATTTCTATTGTACTACATATCTGCTTTTACCTTGTACAGCATTTTGTGATTTTTATCTGTGAAAGGTGCTCTATACTTACCCACATGTGAATGGTCGGACGTGGTCAGAGAGGCTGATGGCACAAACAGGTTGCCTCGCTTCTGTCAGTGTGCCCCAGGGCAGCTGTGGCTGCAGTAGTAGTTTATCACCACCAGGCATGGAGTGAAAGAATAATGACATGTGAAGGGTCTTTGAGTGTCCAAAAAAGTGCTATTTAAAACCAATACATTATCATTATTATTATTATTATCAAAAATCTTATTTAAATCACTTTTTTATTTTGCAGAAAAGAAATTGAGAAAGTCTTGGACATCTATTCTCAGACTTGGACAAAAAATGAAGACAATCACCAGCTGTTGAAGTTGAGTTTGCATATTTTTTTGGGTAGGACAGAACATTGGGCAGTTATGTGGTCTCAGTATTGAACTGTTGTGGTGTAGAGGGAGAAGAAGGCAGATCTTGGCAGACCTCTCAGCTGGCCTGGTGTAACGCCTTAGGATTCCCCTGGATGATTGTAGGAAGTGTGTGGAGAGAAAAGTCTCACATTCTCAACTGCCTGTGTCATCTGATGCCAAGCATTAACATAATGTGACTGTGGGGTTTTATTAGTACTGCTATTTGGTCACAAGGGGGCGGTCTGCCTTGTATAAAAACCTCTACATATTGTCATGTCTGCCTCTTGCCTACTTACTGGTTCTGCTAGTGTTGTTGCCTCGTCCCTGTCATACTTTGGCTCCCAGGTAAATATTGTGCGAAAATAATAATGTCTTTATGCAAGTTCTAGTGATGGGTAAATGAAACAACACGTATCGTTTTGGCACATCCAACAAACTGTATTGAAATAGCCTGGCCTTAGCCATCTACACTCTGCTCAATTATCATTTCCCTACATGTAACGTCTGGGTCTGGTCCCTGTGTTTGCGATTACAATCGATTGAATTCCATCCGACCAATCAGTGAGCGCAGGAGGCGGGTGTTGTAGTTAGTTGAGGGTGACGTCAAGAGTTTACGCCAATTTTTATCAAGAAATTGAAGCTGAAGCAAGACGAATGTTTGGCAAGTGTATTTGCTGGCAAAGATTATGGCGCTACTCCCCACAGGCTCCGTTAACGGCAGACGAGATGGTTAGGCTAAATGCTAATTGCTAACAACTCACTCGGGCACAGTACAGACATGACGGTAAACTCAGATCCAATCGTTTCAATCTGCAAAAGGAGTTAACCCCTCCCACCTGTTAACAGAGTCAATGGAGCACCTCCAGACCTTAGTACGAAATGCAATTTGTACGATGGTGTGGTACGACCAGGCTAGTATTGAAACTGTGCCACAACAGTGTTGCTTGTGCTCTATACTGACGCCTGATGGATCTTATAAATCTTTGCATCCAACTCATTACTTCAATGACCTTTACATACTTGTATGTACACAATATTACATTACTGCATTGTTTGTGGTATTATTTGACGTTGTATGTGAAAATTTAAGTGAGAGTTGTGAATGTATTTATTAAGCAAAATGAGTGTTTTCTATATTTATGTTCAAAAAGTTTTGCCATTGAGTCTATTTCGTTTTTTGGACACTATTTCCCCAGGATTAAGGTGTAATTTTACTTAAATGCACATAATTGATGAACCATTTCAGAAACAATATTTTGGTTGCTGTGGAATACATCTGGTGCTGGTATAACTCTTATTTATGTTGGTCGTTCCAAAGCCGAGGATCCCGGACAGAGAAGGCTCGGTCACCTTTCGTCCGGTGCCTCAATCTTGGAACGGTCAACAGGGACCTGCCCGAGGATCTAAGGCTGCGGGGGGGCTCGTAGGGGGTTAAAAGTTCATAAATATAGCTGGGTGCCAGACCTAAATGAGATTTAAAAGTCAGTAAAATCTTAGAATAGATTCTAAAGCGCACAGGGAGCCAGTGGAGAGTCGCTAAGACAGGGGTGATGTGCTCCTTCTGTTAAAACCAGTGAGAAGTCTGGCTGCTGCGTTCTGAACCAGTTGGAGGCGGGAGAGGGATTTGGAGTCGAGACCAGAGAGGAGGGAGTTGCAGAAATCGAGGCGGGAGAAGATGAGGGCGTGAACTACTTTATGGAGATCGGGAGGAGTGAGTGTGTTTTTTATCTTTGAGATGGTGCGGAGGTGAAAGAAGCAAGATTGGGTGTTTTTTTTTTTTTATGTGGGAGCGGAAGGTGAGGTGAGAATCGAATGACACAGAGGGCACGGGCGGAGGGAGTGATGTTTGATGACAGGGCCGAGGTGGGTTAGGATGTGGGATATTGATAGAGGCGGGTTAATGAGGAGGACTTCTTATTTGGAGGTGTTGAGTTGAAGGAAGTTACGGGCCATCCAACTTTTCTCATTGTTAAAACAGTCGACTACAGCAGCCAGACTTCCAGGGTCGTCTCAGCGGGAGGTATCTGTGTGTCGTCCGCATAGCAGTGGAAGGACACGTTTTGATGGACCGTAACGTGTCCTATGGGGAGCATATAAATAGTAAATAAAATGGGACCTAAAATAGAACCTTGCGGCACACCGACTGATGGATCAAGCAGCCAAATCAGATCCTTAAGCCCCTCACTCTCCACAATGGTGAGGAACACTCTTTGATGGCTAAATCCAGGACTGCCTGGTCCAAAGCATTCTTCCTAGATGCTGGTGTGAAATAATAATACGACATATATTAATAAAACAACCATGAGGAAGTCGTTCAATGTCTGTATACCTTCGTTTATGCTGGGTGTATTTAACACGCTCATGTGGACTCACCACCTGCAGGAGGATCAGTGAGGGGTTGGTGCTAAGTGTACTGGGTTGAAGCTCTGACTGCCACCCCCTCCCGACCCAGAAATTTATTAAGGGGAAGGATGCATGGATGCTTTGTCCTAAAATGCCTAAGCAGTGAGGCTTTTATTTATATATGCTAGTTCTGATGAACAAATGCAGCATTTGACCTGCATGAAATTAAATATTGATTGTAGATAAAGCGTGAAACATGAACTAAAACATTACCTTATTTGCTGTAAACAAATCAAAATGATCCCACACTGCAGAATATTTTCTTTTGGTGGCAGGCTCCACTTTGATACTGTAGAATGGGATGTTTTTACTCTTTGAAAGGAATATTTTCTTTTTCTGAGAGCAATTCATCCCGGTGACACTTGCAGATGCAGAATTAAGATCTGGCTTTGTGACAATAGCCTCCAGCTGAACCCTAGTAAAACAGAAACCTTAGTTGTAGCCCCGGACAGTATTGTGCCTCTCATTACTCAGCACCTTGGTGACCTAAATAGCTCAGTGAAAAAGAGTCTGAGGAACCTTGGAGTCACTTTTGATGAAAGGATGTCCCTAGAACAACACACCAAACAGCTGATCCGTAACTGTGACTTCCACTTGCGCAATATCTCCAAACTCAGCAGTGATGGGAATAACGGCGTTACTAGTAACGGCGTT